TACTGTATAACTGTCGTTATAAACTGTACCGTTAAATCTTGTGTGACCTTAGAAACAAGCATATATTTTGTCATAATTTTATAGCGTAATCATGGAAATTTTTATATCGGAAGTAAATGATATTGCTTTACAGTTGAATCGGTAGTTTCAAAAAGAACATTAGTCCAAATTTGTGTGTTTTGAGTTATTGTTGTCTATGGTACCCTTGAGGGTAGATCTATAAATCCCTAAAGAAAGAACATTAGTCCGATGAATATCAATGGAGCTACGTGGGATTGAAAATGCCAGTAGATGCAGAAACAACATTAGTCCCACTGAGGTGTGTAAGAACTTTGCAGAAACAACATAAATAACGTTTCAGAAAGAACATTTGTCCCGAACTTACATTAGAAAGTTACATTCCTGATATTAACATAGAATTTTATCAAACAATATATTTTGATTGGGCAACAACAACAGTGGATGATATGGAATAATATAATATAGGATAAGTGATAAGTTATAGATATAAGTTATAAAATAAAATATTCTTCCCATATTAGTTGCAGTAACAACACAAGTCCAAATATAAATGTAAATATCTCAAAAAATACAAGTAGTACAATAAAAAACTATAGATGTGCTACTTCAGACTAATTAATTCAATAATTTGTGAGAAAAATCTACAAGACTTCAAAAGAAAATACTCTGCGAAATCAGTTTTTTATGTCTCCTGAAAAGTAAGCAGATTGTGACTAATGTTCTTTTTGAAATTACCGATTCAGTTAGGATATTGATGTTTGGCAGTTTGAACCATTAGGCCTTGGAGGTTAATTTTAAACAATGGTTATGTCAATATGGCCTTTGGCGTCATCGGTTACGTAATTAGCTTAGTTCACGAATACTTCTCTCTAATATTCGATATTAAAAGCATATTCGATGTAACAGCTCCTAGCAGCGAGCAGATGGGGATGTTGGGTTTTAGTGGCTAGGGGTTTATTGCTCCTCACGCACCGACCCCCACACTCCCCGCGTCACTTTAAACAGTTGATTACCCATCAATAAAAAAGGGCCTCAAGTACTCATCAATAAATAAAAGTTATCATAGTTGATTAAAAATAGTAAAAGAAATATCCAAAATTTAAACTTCTTATCTAATAGATACCGGCTGATATAAATATAAACGTTGTTTGATACGCATGGTTCAACTTTAAATTTTAATATTTAAATGAAAAAATGTTGATTATGCTTTTTTTATTTATAAGAGCTTGCAAACCCTCGGCATCTATTGACATATATATACAGAAAAATAACATTTAATGAGACAAGCACTTATAGGCCAACAACAAACTAGATAAAAGAAAATACTTGGATTCGAAAATTATAAAATCTAAAGCAACATTTATTTCAAAGTGTGAACAACTGTAGGTAGAAGGTATCTTTAATGTTAAGCTTTTTCTTGTATTTTAAGAACTTATCCTCTTGTAAGACGTAAGACATTACTTCACGCATTGCCAAGGCAACCTTCGCACAACTTCGGCCTGTATGGCAGTCACGGATGTTGCCGCGTCGAATCAAGGTTAAAATATTCGGATCCAACGTCAAATCTGTGCTGCTCTATGGAAACGTAGAAGTTTACCAAAGACATCTCGAACCAAGTCTTCGTCAACCGCTGTCTTCGCCGTATTCTGGGCATCTACTGGCCCTAAAAGATCTCTAACGAGCAACCCCGATTAGCCAGCAGATCAAGCGACGCAAATGGAAATGGATAGGCCATACACTCCGAAGGGATCCCAATCATATTCCCAAGCAGGCGCTTGCGCAAGGAAAGCGGAATCGTGGTGTCGTACAGTTGCAGATGAGGCAAAGAGAGACGGAAAGACTTGGAGCGAGGTGAAATACGAGGTTGAAGACCGAACGCGATTGAGACTCACTGTGGACGGCCTCGACTCTAGGGGTTATAGGACATTAAGTCACGGTCTTGTAACCTTTCTTATTAAAGCGGACTTCAATATTGAGATATAAATTTCTACGACAAATTATATAATAGCATCTTTCAAAGTAATATTTTTTTATTGGCGTAGCAAAGTTGTAAAATACAACTAGTTAATTGTAAGACTTTTGACATGGCTTTGACTGCTTTGACCACATTTTGACCATGATTACTGGGTGCGAATTCAGAAATATTTTGTGCCATGATTTCGTCTTGAGCACTGGGCTAAATTACAAGTATGCCAGCTATACTGTTAATGCTGGTTTAAAATATAAACATATGCGATTGAATCACTTTATGTGGTGCTCGCGTTAGTAAACACGTATTATAAATAGAAGGTAAGATTTCCAAGAGGCGTGTATGTTTAAGTAATTCGATATTTTAAAGAAAATCGAATAAACAAATTTGATATCCCTATAAATTTTGTCCGTCTATTTTGATTTGACACTGTTTTGATTTTTCGTCCCTTTCTATTAAATCGCATTTTCGGCGCGACGAAAAGAGACACTGAATTGTAAGTATGCAAAACGCGTGTAAATCCCAGTAAATGTTATGTTACTATGTTACTCGGGGATAATTTTGCATTCGAAACCATTTTTGAAATCTAATAATTTTTGAGTTTATTTATTACAAACATACTAACTACTAATAAATAAAATTATTTTTCTGTTTTGATTATTATTATTACTATTTTGTGCGTCTTTCATTAGTAATAAATGTTATGTATATGTCTATGTCTAAATAAGTTGGTCTCAAGACACGTAATGGCATTTATTTTTCTATATAGGATGCCTGCCAAGGTGTATATTAAAGTTAACGTATAAAGAACAATAATGTAATAATAATAATAGTAAAAAACAAATTAATGATAGTAAAAATTAACTGTATGAGTAAAGTAATCTTGGAAGATTTGTGTGTAAAAGTATATAGTAAAACAAAAAAAATAAAAAAAATATATATATTTCTGTTTCACCAATATCTAGAATGATTCATGTGAAATTATTTATTTAATTTTCAAGGCATACGAAGCCGTTGGGTCGCTATTACACTATTAAACAGGCTCTTTATAATAGATAAAGAGTTATTGCTTACAAAGCTTTATTCAAAACTCGTTTGATCTCAGGTCAATGGCAAATAGGTAACATGAGAACATAGCTAATATTACGTTATAATAATTATAGAGCATACATGGTTAGTGGAATGCGATAAGCAAATTAAAATGTCTTTGGCAAAAAATTCGCCTCTTCTGAAGGTCGGAAATACAAAATAGCTCCATACAAGTTTTGTTTTAGGTGAATTTGATATAAGAATTTATAAATAAACGAATAAAATCATTTCAATTCAACAATTTTCTGGGTTTTTGGCACAGGTTATGACATAATAGTCTGTGCAAAGAGCACAGAACATTATTGAACGAAAATGACAACATGAGAACTGTCAGAGTAAACATGGTTGTAAATCTTATACACCTATAAAAATTGTCATCTGTAAATTATAGATCATAAATTTAATCATCTCTTAATCCTAAATGTAATGGTAGGAAGGAGTGATGGCAGGAGTCGGCGCCGATCGCTTACCCAATGGTCTGACCAAATAAAGACTATAGAAGAAGATTATAGGTCTCAACATTCCCAATACCCTGAGACAAGCTGAGGACAGAGTGGTGTGGAGGCAGCAAGTCTACGTATCGGATACTACTATGAAGAAGATTTAATCCTCTATCACGTTAAGTATTTTTATTTAGCATCTCCGGAGTAGCAAAAAATATCAGAGATAACACACTCTATATATCAGCATAAATGGAGATTTTTCTGGGACTCACCCCTCGTGATAATTGAATAGGCTATTGTTATCATTAGTCGGCTGTCTGATGAAATAAATAATTGGGTTTTACAACGGGGATCTTTAGTGTGGTACAGACCAGCTATACGCAACTCAAAGGCACAACTAATAAGGTCAAATATTTGATAAGTAGGTAACTCAAACCCAATGCATTTATTTTGCTCCATTCAAATATCTAGATTTTCTGTTCCTTGAGAACAATAGCTTAGTGCCAAAGCTTAAAGAGCTTTCTCTACTTTACGAGTTCTATATGAAATGTACGACTCGTTATTGCACGAGTCGTTCATAGAATCTTATTCTCTATTCATCAGCATAAATTGAGGTTTTTCTGGAGCTCACCCATAATTGAATCGGATATTGACACGTGTCGTTTCTCATGATTAAATGTGTGGTGGAAATATCGTATTTGATTAATTAACAACCTAAATACCTAAGGCCTTGCAGTAATGCATTGTTTTGCTCCATTAAAATATCTAGATTGTTTCAGTTTGAAAACAATGGCATAGTAAATCATATCTTAGTACCAAGGCTTTGAGAGTTTTCTCTCTTCTACGGTTTCTATATAAAATAGACGTGGGTTTTATAAAGAAATATATAAAAAAACGACCAACTGAAATATAGCCAAGTTTAAAAAGTACTTGACAGTTTCAGAAGCATTGTTTTGATATATTATATCATAACATATTTTGATATATTAATCGATTTATGTATTGAATGTTTTGTAATGTATACAATTGCATTGGAAAAGTTATGTAAATAGTTTAAGATTCACAACTTTATTATTATTATAATTATTTTCTACTTAGTATTATTATTATTTTTTTTTTTTTTTCTTTGCTACTGAGGCGCAAACTAGCTGCTGTGGTCTCTGGTAGAATGACCAGCGCTGTGGAACTTTTTACTCCTCAGCATAATGCTGAGCCAGGGCCAATTACAACCACAGTCACACACATTGCACACTGGAAGCGAACCGAATGGCAAAAGGGAATTTTTTAATTTTAATTTTTAATTTTAATTGTTTTTGATGTCTTATTTTATTTTATTTTTTCTTTAAGTATTGATATTTTGTGTGTGTGTGTTTTCGTATGTAACAAATGTTTTGTCTATGTCTATGTCACATTAAAACTCGGATCAAATTTTTCAGGCATTAAAATCCTGTATAAATTATCCAAGTTATATGTTTAACCTAGCCTAAATCAAAACCAACAATATTATCTAAATGGTAATCGAAAATTCTGAAATCGTATTTATACAATTTGTACAATTTACTTATAAGCGGCAACTCCAGTTGGGCGAAATACTTGCTCAGTTTTTCCGAAGTTCCTGACGTGTGAGACAGCCTTGGGAATTGTACTTTATCAGTGGCGTTGATTGTGTGAAGGGCTAATAGAGCGTCATCCAGAAGAGTTTCGTATTTGCCTGGAAGTAAAGATTTCTTAACGACCAAAAAAAATCCTTTTATATAACTTAATTATATTAAGTGTACTTAAAGATACCTTCGTCCTCTCTCACCTCGACTGGCGTTCCACAACTGAGCGTTTTAAAAGCAGTATTTGCCGCACACCATCACTATGTGCAAACAGCTGCCCATTGATTTCCGAACTAATTCGATTTAGGGTCCTTCAAGAGCGTACCAATTCGTATTCAGTGTCCATGAGCGACGGAATCACTTAATGTTAGGTGAGTCTCTTGCCCGTTTGCCCGTCCAAGTACGTAGTATTTATTTCAGTTGCAAGAAATACAGTACCAAGAAAAAAATTAAACAAAAAGGAGGGCAACTGGCGGCCTTGTGGCTTTAGAGCGATCTCGTACAGGTAAGAAAGTAAGAAATAAAAAGCGCAAGAAGTGAAAAACTACAATTAATTTTGTTAAAAGCAATGTATATGATAAATAACCTTTCAAACAGAACAATATTAGAGTAATGAAATTAAAACGTATATTTATTAAAAGGCCGGCAACGCACTCGTGAGGCATCTGGCATTGAGTGTCCATGGGCGGCGGTATCACTTAACATCAGATGAGCTTCTTGCCCGTTTGCCCGTTCTATAAAAAATTACCTTCTAAAAAATCAATATCTAATACAAGCCGAGGGGTTTGTTAGAACGCCCTAACGTAACGACAGAGTCAAATTCAACCGTTTTTGTGTAGGCATACTAAGTTACGTTACAAATAAACATACATTGTGTTCAACGCTACAAATATAACGTGCAAATAATTAAGAGCTAAAAGAATCCTTCTGAATCTTGCGAAACGTTGCGTTGCGTAATTACTTTTAATGACGTCCGACAATTTGCGGTAATTGATGTTGAATGCGTCCCCTTTTGGTTCTTATCTTCTATTAGAAGCTGGTTTTATAACATATAAAAATAATATATGCCACATAGATAAGATATATTAAAATGTGTGTAAACAGTTTGTTTTTTATAGGAGCCTATAATTATTGATTAGGTCTATTCTTAACTCCTCTTACTCCTCCTTATTCAAGAGCAGTGTTGGCCTAGTGGCTTCAGAGTGCGACTCTTATCCCAGAGGTCGTAAGGTTCGATCCCCGGCGCACTAGACTTTCTGTCTATGTGCGCAATTAACATTCGCTCGAACGGTGAAGGAAAACATCGTGAGGAAACTGACATGTCTTAGACCCAAAAAGTCGACGGCGTGTGTCACACTGGCTGATTATTCAAATTCCATACGAAAAATGTTCTACCACATGTACTAACTACACAAATAAAAAAAACATTCAACGTCATAAACATAGCTTACGTCATTTTACTATGCGCAAGATTTGAACCGACTTCAAAAAACCCGAAGGTTTTTCTATCATTCGACGTTACGTATACATTTTTCGAGGAACATCTGAAAACAGAATACATTGGACTCTCGATTGGACATACGTTAGTTTGAATCTCTTGATTTCTTCCCGGTCCCTTGAAAAATACTCGATAAATTGAATAAAATCAATGTTAATTGGTCCCCTCCGTTATTTGACCTTGAAGGAATAGTATCTTAGCGATAATTTGAAGTCCAGTCTTCCCTACTCTCTATAATTTAAGTGTTTTATGCACAGATCCGTCAAGTATCTTAAAATTCTTTGTTCAATTACAGAAGTCGCTCACTCGAAAACAGATTAGGACTTCTTATCCAAATAAAATTGTGTGAAATGTATTTAATTGTTAATACATAATAATAACATAGAAATCACGAATTTTGATCAAACTCTTATACATTAATATACATACATACCTTTAATACATTTAATTCTCTTGATATATACCATTAAATAGAAATATTATTTAATACTTTAAAGATCAGTCCAGTCCGTTTATTTATTTTAAAAGTCTATCTACTGTCCCTGACATAGCGAGTTTATATACAGTTTTTTATTTATTTCTTTTAAAAAATACAGAAATGTAAGTGACGGTGGAACACAAATTGGTCACAATGTCCACCGAAGCGTCGATGTTCATTAGGTAGGTACATTATAATACTTAAAAACAAAATTAACTACTTGAATTATTAATTGAAATAAAAAGATCAATCGAAACATGATAAACGGTTTACATTTACAATATATTATCCTATCCCTAATCCTATCACTACGGCCATCAACCTGTTATACTCGACGTAATAAATAGAAATCTAGGTCACTAGGGTCGAATCCAGGTAATAGACCCGTCTATATGGGAACCGGACCGACTGACGTACAACGGACAGTGAGAACGTACTGTTTACATACGATGTTTCACATTAAGAAGGTCACCAGTACATCTAGGACTTGCCATAACTACATACCTGGAACCTGTCTTGACGCGTATAAGGTAATTAATGATTGTATATATTCGAAGAAGCTTTAATGAAGCTTCCTTTTTCATAGAAAACAAATGTGTGCGTGTACTAGGTGTACACACGTAAGAAGTGAAACTTCTTTATGATCTTATTTTTCGAAAAATGATCTACTATATGCAACTTTACAGAAATTGGTTAAATAAAGTTAAATTAGATAAAGTTTAACAAAAGGCTTTTATTATCATAGACAGGAATACAAATACAATTATTTCATTTTACCTTATTACTACTAAGATTATTACAGAATTTCATTAATTGTAATAGAATTATTACTATCATTGTTATCGTTATTATATATTATTGTTATTAATGGCTTCGAATCTCTTCGAATCAACCGTGGTAGGGACAAGAAAAAGATGGCGCGTAATCGAAAAATGTGACAGTACATTTTTTTCCAACGCCGATAAAGAAGTTTGACTTCAAAAAGCAACATGGCGCGTAACCGAAAAACGTGACGATTTGGTACAAAATTTCTCCCATACATCAATAAAGTTTCACTTCAAAAATTATCGTTACTTCTACATACATAATTTGATTTATTGTTTATTCGGTATTGTCAAACACCGACCACACTATAACAACCTAAAGCTGTCCAAAAACCCACTTTCTTCGCCCAACGCTTTTTTCCTTCAGAACCTTCTTCCACATCTTTAACTACTTTCGGAAAAAACTAAATTTTCACTATCGACTCAAAACTTCGTAAATTTTCTAACAATCTTAAGCAACATTTTCTCAACCCGTCCTATGTTAAAAAAATCTTCTTGTGAAATTATAAAATTGTAAGTGTTATGTAGAAATTATTCAAACGCTGTTAACAGGAAGAGACACGGGACAGGGAGTGCTGGAAGTTTCTCGCAGGCCATATGGGTCTCAGTACCAGCAAAGTGTATAGAAAAGAATATTTATGAAGTATTATTTTATGGTTATACAGAGAATTGACAAGATATCGATATAATGTTTCGATAGTTCAAGGCTCTAAAACAAGATATACGATAGCATTGAATAAAATACCAAAAACGTATAATAAATATTCATTACTACAAAAATAGATTTACTATTACGCTATTGCATAGATTTTATCGCGGGCTTTGAGCGCGGCGACCGACTTAAGAAATTCCGTAACGAAAAAACCTAACACACGATGACGTAATATAGGTGCGGGAAATACGCGTTAGAGTGAGACAGACTATATAGGCGTTTTAGTCTGAGTCTGGTAGAGTGGTGTAGATTGAAATAATATTATAAAAAAACTTTAATTGTTATCATATCATAAAGAAAAACAAATACTGCATACATAAAAAATAAATAAATAATTATAACTGCATTGATAAAAAATGCTATGGAATAGCTTTACCGCGGCAGTCCCCGAGTGCCACACGTTTTTTTTTATAGAACAATATCGCCTCACACTGCTAGGATACTCGTCAAATCAGTGATGCCAACTGGGTATTCCCCATATGACCAACTACAAATACACCTAAACATCGATTAAAAACAACTAAAGATTTTATTGTACACTTGGTTTGAGAGGTAAATTCAAATGTGCATAAATCATGAATAAAATAGTAAAATTTTGATTTTGGCTTATAATAGCTACTTGATATTTCCGTTATAGTTTATATTAGGTCCTTACATATGAAATTGGCGTATTTCGTACTGGCCACTTTAATCACGATGTTCTCCTCTTTGGTAAGTAATTCCAAATTGAAATTTGTACAGATATTTACTCATGTATTTATGCTTCGATGACCGTTATTCATTTGTTTTTTTCTTCTGTTTTTTTCTGTTTGCGTCACTCATTTTACAAAATGGAAAACTTAAAGTATCGTATTATTTACGAGTACGAGTTCTGCCGTGGCACTAGTGCTGCGGAAACGACTCGCAGGGTGAATGATGTGTATGGCGGTAGTGTTGCAAAAGAAAACACAGTTCGTTTTTGGTTCCAACGTTTTCGTTCTGGAAATTTCGACCTGCAGAACAAGCGCCGTGGACGGCCTGAGACCCAGGTTGATAATGAAGTATTGAAGGCTATTGTAGAAGCGGATCCATCGCAAACCACGTCCGAGTTAGCTGCAGGCTGCGGTGTTAGTGATAAAACTGTTTTAATTCACTTGAAGCAAATTGGGAAGATTAAAAAGCTTGAAAGATGGGTACCTCACGAATTGACTGAAGCAAACCGGCAAACGCGCGTCGACTACTGCGTTACATTACTGAACCGGCACAATAATGAAGGTATTTTAAACCGAATCATTACCTGTGATGAAAAATGGATTCTTTACGATAATCGGAAGCGCTCATCGCAATGGTTAGATCCTGGCCAGCCAGCCAAATCCTGCCCCAAGCGAAAATTAACCCCAAAAAAGTTACTTGTAAGCGTTTGGTGGACTAGTGCCGGTATTGTTCATTGCAGTTTTCTCAAATCTGGCCAGACTATTACGGCTGATGTCTTTTGTCAGCAATTGCAAACCATGATGGAAAAGCTAGCGGCTAAACAACTTAGGCTGGTCAATCGCTCCACGCCACTGCTACTTCACGACAACGCTAACCACACACTGCACAACAGACGGCTACCAAATAAGAAGAGCTTCAATTGGAATGTCTAAGACATCCTCCGTACTCCACGGACCTTGCTCCAACAGATTACCATTTTTATCGAAATTTGGACAACTTCTTGCGAGGGAAAAAATTTAACTCCGATGGGGCAGTCCAAATCGCCTTCAAAGATTTAATTGATTCCCGTCCGACTGGTTTTTTTAGTAAAAGGATCAATGAACTACCTATGAGATGGCAAAAGTGCATAGAAAACAATGGTTCATACTTTGATTAATTAAATATATTATATTTAAAAATATTCGACTTTTTGTTCCTCCCATACAAAACGCCAATTTCATATGTAAGGACCTAATATTAGGTTTAGTTTGTTAATTAAGTTCTAGGCTTAATATAAATTTATTTATTTATAATTTGTAAAACAACGTGTATGCATAAATATATACAAGAAAATATGACATCACTAATTGTACACACATACACATCAATTATGTTAAAACAAGCTAGCAAATTGTATTAGAATGGTACGTTTTTTTGTGAAAAAGAAATAAATTTATTGTATTAAGTAACCCCTAAATAAATGTACCTTCTAAAACCCCCAGGACATCTTGATTCCTCCTAAATTTGGGGGCAGAGGCCTTTTTTTACAATACGTAGCGCTGACATAAAAATATTAGTGAGAAGTCAAGTAAAAATATGACAGTAATAAAACTGATAACATTTGTACCATAAATGTTTATCAAAGAAATATATGTCATTGAATTTATTACATTTTTGATCACATAACATTTTTATACTGACCTGATTTTTTTTAATAACATAGGAATTTTGGTGGATTTATTTATAATTCTTCTATCGTGAATGTTTTCGTCATAAAAATAACATATTGTATCGGTCGGGTCTTTTAAAACTCGGTTAGAAATCTGTAAAAATTCGCCGTGGCTTACTTTGTGATCGACAATTAGATTCATAGTTGTCTCTTTCTGTCAAATTATATTTACGCTATTATGGTAAGAGAACATTTGAACAAAGACCGAATTTCCGTTATTATACTAATTAGACTTAGATTGAATGTTAACGAATAAAATTACTTACAATAAAAGAGACAGCTTACCTAATAGTACTCGCGTAAAATAAAGACAGAATTTTTGTTATAACACTAGATTTTACAGCTACATTCAGAAAGAAATACGTCAATTTGAGTGCTTCTCTCTGTTTGGTTGGCCGCGTTATCTTAAGATCAGCACTATAAAAGTTAAACTTATCAATAAGTTTAATCAACGATATTTCTTAACCGGAAGTGATATAACTCCACGAAAAAGATCAACATTATCTGTTCTACCATGAATAGCAAAGTATTATCTGCGTAAATTTTTTTTATGAAAAATCGTATAGCGCTTGGCCATGTGTAAGATTCTATTTATATTTAAGTGCAAATATTGGATCTTATATGTCGATTACCAAAATTCTTATGTAGAATATAATAGTTTGCTGTTGTCTATGAAAGACAAGAAGCCAGTAGCTTTTCCGTAGCTATGGAGGTTTTTCAATTCCTAATTTGAATCTGCGAATTAGCACAGCTGTGATTTTGTTAAAGCTTTTATTTGTTTGTTGCTAAAATTTTTTGTTTAAACTTCTTTACATTTTATTAAACTGCATTATACACTAAAAATGGTGACTGGTCGTACTTGAATTCGTGTATGCGGTGATGTGAGTTATTTCGACTATGTATTTGCGTGTTGTTCCCACGAGAATGTAAGTGCGTGCTCCTATTTCACCATGCCTCCTGCTGATAGAGGACAAATCTTTGTTTTTAATTTTTTTTATTATCATTTATTACTTAAGATATAATGTGGAACATGGTGTAGTGGTTGCAGCTCCTTACAAACGTTGTGTAAAATAAAAAACTTGGCAATTTAAAAGAGTGGCGGAGACGGAGAGTTTATTGCCAATTCTTCTCTTCCAATCTACGCCCTTGATTGGAGAATGTAAAATTAGAAGCATTTATGTATTTTTTTTTGACGTTCATAAGTGTACATACCTATATGAATAAATGATTTTTGACTTTGACTTTGAATAGGCTAGACTCACAAACGCGTGTATAAAAGTAATGATTATCTTTTTATGTAGTCAATTAAATATATATATATATCCTTGAAACTGTTAATGAAATGTTAAAAGACGATATAATAAACATATTTTATTTTTATCATGATGACCTTTTGTGGTAATTAAAATTTAGTTTATTGAATACCTGCCATTTAACCTCTACTGCATTATGCAATCACATACAAAGAGAAAAATTGTTCACGTATTATAACTAATTAGCCAACATGTGTTATGTTCTTTATAACTTGACACCTATCCCACACAATGGCCTACTAACTAATTAAATACTATAGATTATCGTAATTTTAACACAATTTCCATAGTAATACTATTTGCCTCTACTTAAGATGAGTTCAACTAGATTAATACAATGCTATCAAAGGAAGGTGGTGCAGAAATTACTCTCGCCATGCTGTTCTCTATGCAACGCTTTGCCAAAATCTATTTTGAATCTTGACTCGTCAAATGATTGTAAACATGATCAAGGTTCGTTCGTAAATAATCACCATAAAAGGCCGGATATCCTTATGGAATCATTGGTGTAAATTACTTTAGTGATAATATGCACTGAAATCTATAAATAGTTTCTTTGATATTTTAAATTCTAATGATAATTCTATTGATTCTTTTTATGTACCAGGGGGCTCAGTCACATTGCCAGAGGACTCGCAAGTGCGTTGCCGGCGTTTTAAGAATTGGTACGCTTTTTAAAGGACTCGAAAATATTTCGTTGGGCCGCTGATTCCACTGTTAATGCGCGGCAAACACTGCTTTAAAAAACGCTCAGTTGTGGAACGACGGACGCAAAATACGAAGTTCCACCCGTATCACCTCGACGTCCAATACTTCGCACAAGAAACTAACAAATTTTTTTTTTTGTGATTAATAAAAAATCTTCGTATCAAGATTTTGTCTGTATCTTTTAGTTCACCAGGTTCAACCTGAACTGTGAATGTATCTAGTACTTAGTACTTACCAACTAACGTGTACTTTATCAGGCACGGATGGCACAAATTGGTTATCGGCTGCCAATGTTCATTATTCACCATATCTGCCAGTTCTTCTGTCTTCGTTGTTAGAAAGAGGGCGAACTCCCTGAACGTGACATCGTCTCCCAGTTCAAGGGACTCATTCGATGGGTTATCTCGGAAGGCCTTGATGATCCTCCTACCCAGGCGATTCTGGAAAAATACCTTCTTATAGTAAAATATAGGAGAGCTACACTTGAACCTTTTTATCTATCTTTAGTTTTTTTAAGTCGGATAAAAATATATTTTCACATTATTCATTCAGTTTAGTCCGATATGTTTACCATTGGACAGTGGACAGTTTTGTCTATGTATTTACAAAATAATTACAACAACAAATATGTGTTACATTTCAATATCACTTTCTTAACCATAAGCAGGCAAAAGCTTTCTTGTTTTTTTAAGGTCTGATTGTGTTTTTCTAATAGACAAGTAGGTAATCAACATCAACATCGACTTTTCGGGTCTAAGACATGCTGTTTTCCTTCACCGTACAAGCGGGTGTTAAAAGCCTATATAGACAGAAAATCAAGGTGCACAGCTGGGGCTCAATGTCGGGGATAAAAGTCTCAAGCTGAAGGCCAAACTGCTCTAAACGCTATTTATATATTCTTTATATTAGAAAAAACTTTTACCATAATACAGTTTCATTAGTTATCTCATTAAATTTGAATATTTTGACCATATATATTATGCAATGTTTATCATATTTTAATACACCAAGCAACAGGTCATACTAGTGATGTTACTAGTATAAACTGTTGCTTCTTTATATTATATTGTATAATGTATTCTTAAATAAAAACCAAATATCCAAATTTAATATATGGTATTGAAATGACCTTTTTAACTTACAATAATTGATAAGACCATGATACTTACTTAAAAACTATTAGTAGTGATAATAAATGTCAACAATGAATGTACATTGATTTATAATTTAGTTCGAGACTTATTGCAGAATGGCCTATTCAATATTTTTTAAGACATCTAAGAAGTTATTTAACATATTTGTGTGTAAATAACTCTTGGTTCTATCAATATGTGTTAGCAAATTCTGAAATAAGGAAAATCTAAAACAAAAAACCAATTCAAAGGTAATATAAATTCAAGACTTAATCTTACAAGACAACTGGGCCTATTATTATGAGTAAAAGGAACAAAATCTAGTACTAATCAAAAATTGGTGTGTTTAGTCTCATATACCTCATAAAAAAAATATCTTAGATTGCTTTAAATGTCAATCTTTATCAAATTCGGTATGGTGTAAGTATAAATTACTCACACACTTTTATACTTTTGTGTAGGTAAGTATTTATATATACATATAAGTACACTTACTTAGAATAACTTACCCTAAAATAAGTTGCAGTCGGGGTATCTATTTCCAATTTATTTCTGTATGCCGATAGAAGTCTTTCAAAGGGATTCCTTACAATAATCATTTTGTTATAATTCTCCAGCATTTCATCTCGTTCTTCTTTGGGCACTGAACTTAGATTTCTAAACATGCCCGGGGAGTGGGCTATATGACCAGGTATCGCTAGAACATCAGTTCCATTCCACTTTCCACCTAATGTCATGAGTAGTCTTTTCCAATTAGTACATGCCACCTACAAAAGAAAAATATTACATATTTTGTCATATTAAATAAAACCATACAAAGTTCGTTCGTAACGTTCTAAAGAATTTCTATGTCTATCAATTCACGAATACAAAATGCCAAATCATTTATCATACGAACTAAGTTCGAAGTAAAAAACAATGACGTATGTACAACAAGAACACTGGTTATCCTTGACCATCTCACCTTAGGAACATAGCAATAGAGAAGCTTGCGATCATCATCAACTAATATGTGTTCCAACTGATTGTTGGGTAAATCATCAACAGACCACGTCAACCGGTACCTATTACATCGCTCCTGGATCTGCTCTTGCCTTGCCAAGTTCAAGGACTGGGTCAGTTCCAAAGAATGCTGATTATACACCACGCTATAATCTCCACTCACACACAAGATACTCAATAACAACACAAAATTTCTGTTAATAACACGCATCTTTAGCCATTCAAAATGAAAACTAAGTAACTTTCTTTTGTAAATAACAACTAAATGTAGAACGAAATAAAAATAAACAAAATTTATTTGATATCGTATAATCACTATACGCAATAATTGTAGTTATTCTATTTACACAGTTACGTTAAACGTTTAAGTTATCAAACGTCTTTAATTGAATTTTATTTATTACGAATTATTAAGAACAAGGAGCGTAACACAAGCTCACCGCTCAACATTAGAAGGCTGACTGAGCCCTGAGGAGTGAGGAGTTGAGACTTGAGAATGATAATAATTAATAATTGAAGAACTAAGCGAAGAGCAAGCACGCAATTTATGAACCAAATGAGCAGAAAGTGATTAACTGATTATTGGAGTTGAAGACTGAAAAACGAGGTGTATTACGATTCATGAATATTTAGAATTTGAATGATGAATATAACTAAATAAGGATGAATGAATGTATTGTTTGTGTTTGGTGCAGATTGGTAAATCAGCAATCGTGAACTCTTGATCTTTTAATTTGAATCAAAAAACTATCAAGTGCTTGTGATAAATAGACTGTTATAATATGACGAAATAATCTGATCTGAATTCTAATGTTAATAATCTGATAACTTAACCGTCTTAGTTAATGGTTTCCCGCTGCTAATTGTCGGGTTTTATTTATAGTGACTTGTTAAGGTGTAAGGAATAGAAGTAATACTTTTTGTAGAAACCGAAAATATGTAGGTACATATATTATGTCGTATTTGTAAAATAAAATATGATACTATTTTTATATTATTATTCATTTATTAAATGCTAAAAAAAATCACATTAAAGCTAGCTAATTATGAAACTAATTCTGGCTTGTCGCGAGTTTTTCTGGGATTGCGTTCTGAAAAGGAAAACAAGAAACGTTAAAATTTTGTAATATTAAGAACCTTACATAGGTTCTAAAATTGTATAAGACTTAAAAAAAATTATGTGTCATCATTGATATACAAAAAACCCAAGATGCACAGTCTCGAATAAAAGTAACGCTCGAAAGTGTCCCGAAACACTATTTCTGTCCATAACAGTATATGTTACAAGCATATATTATTGCAAAATCAACCTTACGCGAATTGCTTAAAGTTGTTATTACAACGCAGTGTATACGTACTTAAAGCAATAAAATTTTACGACCGACCGTGGTCGGTAGGACAAGGTATTGAGTGGAGTCGAACATGACTTTTTTATTTACAACTATTTAACATAATTTTAAATTTATCCGACTTTTCGGGTGCTTTACAGCGTGCGTGGTGACGGTGACTGAAGACAAAAGGTGTTGGATGTTAAATAGTTGTAAATTTATAATAATACATAACATTAATCCGGTTAAAAAGTTTTTTCTTTAAATTAAAAAAAAATGTTAAATTGGCTACCTCCTGACCCACACTTTATATAGCGTAAATATATTTGTCAAAAACTACACACAAAAAAGTTCAAGAGTACATAAATTTATTTATAAAAAAAACACAAATAAATAACATCGACTCCACTTATAGACGCGAGACTATTTGAAATGAGCGCACAATTTAGAATGTTGCGCTCATTTTTTGAGGACGTTTTTTAGACGTTGATTGTGCATCTTGGGTTTTTGTATATCAATGTGTGTCATACTTTATTTTATATGATACGATATACAAACCCTTAAATGCTGTATATAATTGACTTGATGATATTGATGGATAAGCGCAAAAGCCTCTTCAGCAACGGGCAATTGATTGTATTGCCACGCTAGTACTGCCAAACACGCCCATAGTGTTTCATCTTCAACTGTTCGACAAAGCTAAAAAAACAAAAATAAAACAATTATTATACAATTTACATCAGATTTCATGCTTTTCTTTTTTTTAGCTAAACCCTTTTTTAATAATACATTTTTTATATAAGAATTATTTTACAGTTACATTTCTGTGTTGGGGACTCTTCTGAGTTACAAGAAAAGAACATAATCTTAGTCTTTAAGTGTGCGTGCGGGTGTACTTTGAGTGTGTTTAATTAGCATAGATGTGTATGCACGTGTGTGCGTGAATGATTATATGAAAATTACTCCCCGTACACTAGACGTATTAACTAACGTCTTAAGAATCGTCACGTGACATGAGCTAAGAGAAGAAATAAAAAACTCCTTAGTAAATGTTATTGTGCAGCAATCCGTTGTAGTGGAAATATATTACATTACAATAAAAAACCCCACTTATTGTCTTTTCAATGAGGAAATATTTTTCATACTAACTTGTAATGCATCATCCCACATATTGGCCGCTATATGTTTCAGCAGCTTTTCCGGAAAAGACGCAAGGGATATACGTAACAATGACCCATTTCCTCGGCGTACACAGACCACTCCATCTTCGATGTTCATTATACTTGGATTTCTACCTAAATCGCTAAAATATATTTTATTATTAAAAATAATTAAGTCAAGTTAAAAACACATATGTAACGTTCATACATAATATAATAAAACAATTATAGGATTAAATGTAAAATGTATGACTCTAAAGAAACATTAATAATAATATTGTCATAACTGAAAGTTGCCATGTTTAAAAAAATGTAATATAAGAAGAATTAATCGCGTGATACTCTGTGGTATGGGGCGTGGCGTGACATTAGAATACTTTTAGAAAAAAATATTATCAGTACCTTATATCCTTGCTAACAGTAGTGAGTGTTAGCCAATCAGGTTGAGTTGCAGCTCTTGGACAACACCAGGCAACAACGGAATTCGCTCGCAACCCTACTAGAAGTTCTGTTTCACTGCTCCATGTAATGCCTAAAACTTGAGGTCCTGTAATAAAAAAAATTGCTGCATTTATTTATAATTTCTATACTCATAGAATAAATGTACCGCAAATATTGCTATATATTTAAATCAAAGCTTATTTGCAAAGCTCTCCAGTTACACAAATAAAACTAATAATAATTTTTTGGTGTTAAAATTTACAACAATAATTAAAAATGTTTTAAAGACATTGTATGCTTTATACATAAATATCCTATAGTATCTATTTTTTTATCGTCATATAGTAATAATATAGTATAATCGTAATACTTTTACAGTGGTAATATTTGCGAAACGCCTTCCAAACACAATTTCTATAGAAAAATAGTACGGCTAGACAATATTTTTCAAAGTACGAGCAGATTTGACCTAGTGGCTTGCGTCTCTCATATACATGCACTGCACTTAACATTCGACGAACTTTCCCCGGTACGGAAGGAAAACATCGTGAGGATACCAGAATTTTTTACTCATTTTCCAAATTTCTATTAAAAAAAACGAATGACCACAACAATACAGACATCTAAAAAGGTTGTAGCGCCACTGGTTTTTTACAAATACTTTGGATAAATGTATTGAATGTTAGAAGTTTTCCAAATTACCTTACCCAATTTAAACATTTTCGGCTTAGTTTCCTTAACAGTAACCACATACAAATCTCGGTTATAATCCAATAATGCGAGTTGCCTCTCATTCAGCGGTCCTGTTTGGCTTAAGGCGATGCACGATACGGTCATTTTGTGTGTCAATTTTGTTACCGTATTGTCAGTGGAGCTTCGTACAATGAGACCCGTTGGAAGATCAAATACCTGAATTACTAAAATCAAAATAGCTATGCTGTAATGAATATGTTAATTCATAAAATCAAGAAAAACAACCTTTAAATTGCCAAACAACAACAAAGTGAAAAAATATCAACAATTTAATTAATGTAAAAAATGACGTTATTACGTAATCGATAATTTTACTTGCTTACATCTTTTTTCGTTTCTTTTTATAATAAGTTGAAATTCTGTGCAATAAATTTTAAAACCATATGTTTATAGTCTGTGGCAAAAGAGAACCGGCGTGGGATTTGAGGTCGCTGTAGTGCTAAATAACCATTTTTGTTGCTGTCAACTCTGTTACTGCATTATCGTTTAACAGTTACAACTGTACGAAATAAATAAAAGTATATTTTTTACAAATATGAATTAAACAACCAAATGTGAATAAAACGCTGGTTCTCTTCCCGCATACTCTAACGTTATTGATTTATAACGTACGTTTTCTATCAGTATGATCAATAACAGCTAATGTATCTGGCCCAAGAGATATAGTTGCTTGTCCAATCGTCTCTGGTCGAGGGATTCGGGGGCTGGCAAGTAAGCGACCCATGTAACTGTATACCGATACACCGGCCCTCTCTACGACGCATATGCACCTGTGAGTGAGTGAATGAAAGACCGAAATGAATTGTCATAAATATAGTTTTAACGTTTTCCTAATTCAAATAATATTCCCGCCTTATGTTGTCCAGTGACATTAGATAACAATGTTATCTGTTTTGGCTTTACTTATATATTTTCTAAGTTATTTCTATTTGTAATATGAATATATTGTGTAGATGTAAGATTACTTTTAAATAGTACACAAAAGTGAATATTGTAAATAATTAACAATATTAATATTAATTATTTTGTATTACAGAATTATTCTTTAATACAAAACACGCGCAAAATTTTCCCCACCACACAACGTAAATAAAGTGAGTGTTATTAAAAAAGGTTATTTTGTTTATGTCAAAGTGTTTTTTTTGCTCAAGATACTTGATTGGTAAATTTGGTCACACATTTTATAATCACAAAAAACCTGTAGCGTTAGTATGGGTAAGAATAAAGCTAAAAAAACACATATTTAATAAAACCTCATTACCTTTATTAAAAAAAAATAAACCATTTATTGGCTCCATAATACCTACTCGTCATAATTGAATAAAAACGAAATTAGGTAAAAGTTAGAGGTAACTGTGTTTTTATGTATCGAGGAATTTATATTAAATTGTGTTTTTAATAAGAGCCAACAATTGAAACTATAGTGAAGGATCAATACATATTTATTGTTATTAATTCAATCACTTATGATTATCACTGGCTATTAGGTAGAAAATAAGAATAAACTTCTCATTTATAAAACTGTCATAAAACCAATATGGTCCTATGGGACCATAGTTCTGGGGGTCAACAAGCCGCTCTAAATCCTACAGCGGCTACAAAACAAAACACTGTGAAATGCTGAAGTCCGTAAATATTTGAGAATTACCACTGTCGAGGAAGACATTAAAATATCAACCGATCAATACAAAAGTAGAAGGAAGGAGGCTGATTGCAGATGATTAAAAAAATTACAAATAAATAATATCAAATATACGATGAATGATTTTGGTCAGTGCCCGCTCTGCATACAAACCACAGTGGTTATCAAATAATATATCATAAAGTTTAGATTCTGTAAAATTAATAAAAAGGCTTACCTTTCCGCCAATAATATCATACTAATACTGCCTTCCTTCAAGTCAAACGTCACTGGCGTATTCCAAGATGTAAGTTTATGAATAAAGCACTGTTTCACGGTCGCTATAACCAGGTGATTGAAACCAAGCGCTATTTGTATCACTCTATCCGGATAATCCAATTGGTCACTTTGGTCTGTGATTATATTCTTTATGGTAATCATTTTACGTGTTATTTGCTTGCAGGCGTAACTCCGCCATGTGTACTCTCTAAAACAAACATCTTGTAGAGTTCAAACGCTATACGCACTTAGTAACAGAAAAGCATTCGAAAAGGCATTTCCTTTTGCGAACTAGCGTACTGTGGAATCGAGTGGGAGTCTTCCCTGAGAGATACGACCTCCAATTACTCAAAATTCGAGTGTACTCTTCCCTCAAAGGGCTGCGATGACTGCCCTATTAAATAAAAAATAAAAAACATTTTGGGAAATCGCGTTTAAAGGTTTGTTCCACTCTGGATTGAATAAAATGCTTTTGATTAAAGTCTGATATTAAATTTTACAAATTTGTTCTTCGATAACGTCATTATAGAAAGCTTTGAAAATTAATTTCCATTTCAATAAGTTTTATAAATTACGATTATATAAAAATTATTTTTTATTATATTGTACAAAAAATATGACAATTATATAATATACAAAATCAGTCATGAAAAATTCCTTGTTAAACGTAAAAATTAAATACATTTTAATATATCGAATCAAATGGGAATTGTTCTTTAGGATTTTTTACGGTTGTAACGAATATACCTGCTTTTTGTTATAAAAGGGTTTTTGAAAGAGGGGAAAGAGAGCCTGCGGGGCAGCCAAAAAAACAATCACCGCAGCCCATGTACACCAATGTACGGTGCGTTGCCGGCCTTTAAATTAAGCTCCTTTTTTAATAATTCAAGAACAGAGCATTCCATTCCTCGGCAACACACCCGCTAGCCAGCGTCGTTGGTGTCCATGGGCGGCCTCCCGTCCCATAAATAATTGTAGATCGTACACTTCGACTTACAGGGAAGTCCTTCACCGGGAGCCACAGTTCGCAAATGATACGTAGTGAAGCGGACTTAAGTTAATTAAATAATACCTTTCTATTATATGAGCAAAAAGCACGTGACAATTAGCACAGGCTGCAGCTAACTGGGTTCCATCTGACGACCACGCAATACTATAAATACTCCCCGTTGAAGGCCGATCAAGGCAATAAGATCGCTGAAAGTACAAGCTAAATAATATCTAATGAGCGGTGTTGGCCTAGTGGCTTCAGCGTGCGACTCTCTTACCTAAGGTCGTAGGTTCGATCCCCGGCTGTGCACCAATGGACTTTCTTTCACGAATTTGCTCGAACGGTGAAGGAAAACATCGTGAGGAAACCGACATGTCTTAGGCCCAAATAGTCGACGGCGTGTGTCAGGCACTGGAGGCTGATCACCTACTTGCCTGTTAGATTTAAAAATGATCATGAAACAGATTCAGAAATCTGCGGCCAAGACCTAAAAGATGTAGCGCCATTGATTTATTTTCTATTTTTAAATAATTTCTAAAGGCTGATAAACTTTTGTTTCGGTTACGCAGGATGGCATTTGATCATAGATTAGTCGAATAAATCATTGAAGTCGCTCAAAAACAGATTACGGCAATTCGAAATAAAATTTTGTGAATTGTATACAATAATACGAAATCACGAATTTTGATCAAACTCTTATTTTCTTCAGTCCCCCTCGTGGTTATTTAAACGCTATTTGAACCCTTGGTCATTTGAAATTTATCTCTGGTTGAGTTAAGTTTCGAGAGTCGACTGTATGATCTTCACACACCGTATATACCCTTTAATATATTTAATTCTCTTGAACAATCCCAATAATTAGAAATTTGGTCGTAAAAACAGATAGTCGTAACAGCCGATGACGTTGTTCCTAATACAATAGGATTCAGCCAGGACCTTTGACTATGGTCAATATAACCTGTTCTAAACGATGTCGTCGTATACGGTTTTGACTATAACCAGCCAGCCATTTCAAAGTGATCCTAAAATCTCTGAGAGATCACTTACCCCATTCAAATCGCACAGTCTTATCAAATTATAACTCCCCAGGACGAACATATTACCAGTGGGTGACCATGTCACACTTGTCAATGGTTGATCGTGCTTTACACTTATGGATACTTGCTGTCCAAATGTATCCCAAATCTATAATAGCATCGATAAATAAGAGTTAGACAATTTTTTTATGTTAGGCAAACGGGTAGGCTCACCTTTTGTTAAGGGATACCGTCGCCCATGGACTCACATTGCCAGAAGGTTGTGTTGCCGGCCTTTTAAGAATTGAAGCCCTTTTCTTGAAGGACTCTAAGTCGAATTGGTTCGGAAATAGGGTCCTTCAATTAAAGAGCCGGAAACGGACCCTTTGGCATTGAGAGAGTCCATGGGCGGCAGTATCACTTAAGATCAGATGAGCCTCCTGTCCGTTTGCCGTCTGTTCTATATAAAAAAATACTTGAGTGGGCAGTTGGTTCCACATAGTGGTGTGTACGTTGATAAACTTAAAATAATCAGAAAATTCAGGTCCAGCCACGTTTTTATGCTAATCATGGCCTCGTGTGTTATGCTTGTTTATGATTGGTTTAAATAATAGTGTCGTTTATCAGTGATTGGACTAGACACTGGACACTTGTGCCTGGACCAGCCAGGCACAAGTGAAACGCGCTATCGTATTTCATTTTAGCGTGGACATCAATAACACTTTATTTTTTTAATAAAAATATAATAACATTTAAACGAATTATGTACTTACATAAATCATCCTTTCATAAAAACAAAATCAGTGTTAATTAAAGAGTTCTCTCACTCGTATCTTTTTAAAGATCTAAATTTTAAATACTTAGAGAACATCAGAATTTATTCGTGAAAATTGTCCGACAATTTTATGCAACTTAAAAATGTTATTAAAGTAAAACCGAGCGAAACTTACCTTTGCATAACCATCTTCGCCACCAGAAATTATAAGATTATAATTTGGATTCCATGCTACGCAAAGAATAAGTCCTTCGTGTGCCTTCCACTGAAAAGATAAATATTTAAAACCCTGTGGCGCTACAACCCTTAGTTCGCCCCTTCAATTAGTGAATCTTTTTCTTAATATTTTTCTATTAATAGGTAAGTAGGTGATCAGCTGTGAAGATCAGTATGCGCTATAAGTTCAACAGGTTGATAATAAACATTACTACCCTACAATATAATACATATATATACTAGTGGACCCCACAGACGTTGTCCTGCATGATATTTAAAGCGATTAGGATATTAAGCAAAGTATGAAAGTACCCACTGCAGTGCCATCTGCCGGGCTGATTTGTGAATCTAAACCATTCCCAGATCCCCTTGAACACACACAAAAAAATTTCATCAAAATTGGTCCAGTCGTTTAGGAGGAGTTCAGTCACATACACACGCACAGAAGAAATATATATATTAATATATATTGTAATTCACATATGTTTTCGTTGTAGCGTTACCTTATTTCTTCTTTAAAGTACATCACATCGTATAATGTATTTTCTACCATAAGGTTACAAGCTATGTATTCTTAAATACATGACAATTATGGTGTTTACAAAAAGCAATACTTCTAATTTTACTAGTAATTATTTGCTTAACAATGCCAGCCAGCCAGCCAGCCAGTGGGCTGATTTTAAAAACAAGCGAATATATCAAGCTGTGGATAAGTAGTGTTTATTTCGTTATATTCGCGAGGGATTCGAATGAGATAGACTTTTTTCGGAAAATTCTACCTTGGAATTACTGAAATGGATAGGTCAGGCAAGTGTGTAATAATAATAACTATACATTTAAATAGACTTTTTAAGGCATATATGCTCCCTTCCGTTGACCACAAATGCCACTACTAGAAACATATGTAATACAATATGTAGATAAACTTTTTAGATTTTTCATACAACATACCTTTTTTACTTTGGAATTAGAATTCAAATGTTTGATGACGAGGCAATTGCCTTTTGTGTATAATATAGCTCCACTATCTGGACTCCATTTCGCATTAAAACACGGAACATCAGACTGCACAACACTTGATCGGAGTAAGCCGTTACGAGACCAGATTTTCACGAAGCCATCTTCACCACCTATATATATATATAGTCAAATATATATTATCATTGGAGATTGCGTCTATGGAATCAATGAGCAACAAGGTCTAGGAGCGGCGGAGAGTTTATTGCCAGTTCTTCTCTTCCGATCTACGCCCTTGATTTGAGAACTGGCAGTAAATGTAAAATTAGAAGCATTAATATGTATTTCTCTACTGACAAGTCATAAGTGTACATTATGTTACCTATATATTTAGCGAACTTAAAAAAGCATATAACTCAGCCTCCAGGTCCTTCAAACGGGAAATCACTAAGGCAAAGTCGGAGCACATTGCCAGATTTGGCGAGAGATTGGCCCAACTCCCTTCGGGGACTCGAGCCTTCTGGTCTCTTGCCAAAGCTGTCCAAGGGAATTTTTGTCAGCCCGCCATTCCACCATTGCACAGGGAGGATGACTCGCTGGCCCACACTGCGAAGGAGAAGGCCGACCTTTTGGGCTGTCTCTTCGCGTCCAACTCGACTTTGGATGACCGAGGAAGATCACCACCGACTATTTCGAGGTGTGATTCATCGATGCAAAAAATCACGGAAATCACATTCCGGCAACGTGCTGTCCGCAAGGCACTATCTTCCTTGGACATTCATAAGTCGAGCGGGCCGGATGGTATCCCCCCAATTGTGCTGCGTACTTGTGCTCCTGAGTTGGCTCCGGTCTTAACGCGCCTTTTCCGGTACCTGCACTCGCTCGGCACTGTCCCGAAGTGCTGGAAAACCGCTTCGATACATCCGATCCCTAAAAAAGGCGATCGCTCTGATCCGTCCAACTATCGCCCAATAGCCATAACCTCCTTGTTCTCCAAAATAATGGAATCCATTGTTAATTGCCAGCTCTTAAGGTATCTAGAGGGCCACCAGCTGATTAGCGATTATCAGTACGGCTTTCGTCGTGGTCGTTCGGCTGGTGACCTTCTTGTATACCTTACACATAGATGGGCAGAGGCAATTGAGTCCAAGGGGGAGGCGCTAGCTGCTCTCGAAGCTCCCAGCCTATGGGCTACCCGAGAAATTATGCGATTGGATCTCCAGCTTTCTGGCCGATCGGAGCATCAAGGTCGTCATCGACGGAGCATGTTCCGACCTTAAACCCGTGAACGCGGGGGTCCCACAAGGCTGTGTTCTATCCCCGACCCTGTTTCTTCTGCATATCAATGATATGTTGCAACTTAGCAACATTCATTGCTATGCGGATGACAGCACTGGGGATACTCTTTACACTGGCCGGGCAGGTATTTCTCGGGCAGTTGTCGATGAGTACCGGAACAAACTTGTGTCTGAAGTCGAAACTCTACTACGTGGAGTCTCAGATTGGGGCAGACTAAACCTAGTCCAATTTAACCCCAAGAAGACACAAGTTTGCGCGTTTTCTGCTAAAAAAACACCCTTTGTCGCTACTCCTCTTTTCGAAAACACTCTTCTTAAAGCCACAGCTAGCATTGGAATACTTGGCGTTGACATATCGAACGACGTTCAGTTTCGCGGTCACTTGGAGGGAAAGGCTAAATTAGCCTCCAAAAAGCTTGGTGTGCTCAGCAAGGCGAGACGGTACTTCACTCCGGGCCACCGCTTGCAACTATATAAAGCGCAAATTCGGCCCCACATGGAGTACTGCTCTCACCTCTGGGCGGGGGCTCCCCAGTACCAGCTCCTTCCACTTGACCGTATTCAACGCAGAGCGGTTCGAATCGTCAACGACCAATCCCTCTCCGAGCGGCTTGATCCTTTGGCGTTGCGTAGAGATGTGGGGTCACTCTGCATCTTCTACCGCATTTACCATGGAGAGTGTTCAGAGGAGTTGTTCGGATTAATACCTGCAGCTGAGTTTCGTCATCGGACGTCGAGGCAGAGTACGAAATTCCACCCGTATCACCTCGACGTCCGCCGTTCCACGACTGAGCGTTTTTCAAGGCAGTTTTTGCCGCGCACCACCACTTTGTGGAACCAGCTGCCCACTGAAGTATTTCCGAACCAATTCGACTTAGGGTCCTTCAAGAAAAGAGCGTACCACTTCCTGAAAGGCCGGCAACGCACTCGCGAGCCCTTTGGCATTGAGAGTGTCCATGGGCGGCGGTATCACTTAACATCGGGTGAGCCTCCTGCCCGTTTGCCCCCTGTTCTATAAAAAAAAAAAATATATATGATCAAATCAAATTTTTAATATTACTTAACAAAAATAAAATTACAAGTATACAATTACTTAACTAATAAAAAATATACCTATTAACAAAATGAAAAATAAACTAAAGGCTTTCAATTACAATGCAATACAAAAGAATAATAAATATGAATTACAAAAGTCACGAATTACGATTGAGCAGGATAGGATATGGTTAAGAAGACTAGGGCAAAACCGCACCCCTGTTAAAAATTGCACAGAAAAATGTGCACTAGAAAACTTACTGCTTATGGTACCAAAGGTTAGAGTTAAAATTACTTTCTAAAATATTATATAATTGAATTACACAAGTTTATACAAAAACATGCAGTTTGAAACTCAAAGGAAAAAAAAATTTACTTGATAAAAAACGATTTTTTGGAAATTCATAAAATAAATCAGTGGCGCTACAACCTCTTTAGGTCTTAGCCTAAGATTTCTGAATCTGTTTCATGGTCATTTTTAGGCAAGTAGGTGATCAGCCTCCAGTGCCTGACCGCCGACTTTTTTGGTCTAAGCCAGGGGTCTCCAAACTTTCCAGCCTTAAGGCCATACAGATTACTCCAGTAAGTTCCGAGGGCCAAAACCATGACATATGGTGTTGGTGCTTGTTATAAGTTATGTTTTTATCACAAAAACAATAACAATAAGCCTACAACAATGTTATGAGTAGTTAGCCCATGACCATAATATCAATGTAGATTTATTAATAATTATTCGACATAAAATTAGAATAATTCAGTAAACTAAATTTAATTTGCTATAAAAAATATCTAAAAGGAGTTTTCAAGTATGCTAGCTCTCCGCGGGCCGGACAAAATCTGTCCGTGGGCCAGATGTGGCCCTCGGGCCGTAGTTTGGAGACCCCTGGTCTAAGCCATGTCGGTTTCCTTACGATGTTTCTTCTTCTTCCTTCACCGTTCGAGCAAATGTTAAATGCGCACATAGAAAGAAAGGGCATTGGTGCACAGCCGGGGATCGAACCTACGACCTCAGGTATGAGAGTCGCACGCTGAAGCCACTAGGCCAACACTGCTCACTATGTAAAATAAACATACCAGTCAATAATCCTGCACCATCCGGACTCCACTGTGCTGTCAAACATGCTCCCTGATGCGCAACGACGCTTTTTTCTATGCGTCCGTTATGATTAACTATATGAAACCTGTTGGTTGGGATAATATATAATGGATTAAATAGTGGTAATAGTAAAATCAAGAATTCAGACTTCGCCCCTGAGAGGCGTCACAGTCTAAGTTTAAAATTTTAAATGTAAATGTATATGCCTGCCCTGCGATTCTGTAACTCACTCTTCGAACTCAAACAGCGGTTTTCGCATCGGCGGTCGCTCTCAAATCAGTCGTAAAGCAGTCATTTTATGATTTGGCATTCTGATATTAACAATAAACTACACGTTACCTTTTGAGTTACAGAATCGCAGGGCTGTATACAGTTTGTGGCTACAATAGCTACAATACATATGTCATGACGTTAAGACCTACTAACAAAAGTTATTTAGTAACAATAAAAATTACAAAAAATGATGCAGGGAGACCCTATCTAGACCCAACGAGGATGATCCCTAGACCCGCCGTTGCATAGAAGTTAATCCTATTGTATTTATTATAAAAAGAACTCGTAACCATGGTAACCAACACTGGCCCAAACATTGCAAAAATAAGATTAGTTAAATCATGAAATGCAAAAGTGAGCGTTAAATGTTGTAGGTACTTATCTAACTTATGATAATAATATCTAAATCGAGCATTAAGCCTTGTTGGTGAACGTCTCAATCGGTCGTGCGTTACAGCCCCGGCTGTGGACCAAATAAATTTTCTTTCTCTGTCCAACGATTTAAAATGCACTTTCGTATGATGTTAAACAGTTAATCACGACAAAACAGTAACGTCTTATACGCTTGTCGATCAAAGCTATAATTTAGAACATAAAGTACCATTTTTACCAAGTTACCAAGAAAATTTAGTTTAATACCATTGATATACAAAAACCCAAGATGCACAATCAACGTCTAAAAAACGTCCTCAAAAAATGGGCGCAACATTCTAAATTGTGCGCTCATTTCAAATAGTCTCGCGTCTATAAGTGGAGTCGATGTTATTTATTTGTGTTTTTTTTATAAATAAATTTATGTACTCTTGAACTTTTTTGTGTGTAGTTTTTGACAAATATATTTACGCTATATAAAGTGTGGGTCAGGAGGTAGCCAATTTAACATTTTTTTTTAATTTAAAGGAAAAACTTTTTAACCGGATTAATGTTATGTATTATTATAAATTTACAACTATTTAACATCCAACACCTTTTGTCTTCAGTCACCGTGACCACTCACGCTGTAAAGCACCCGAAAAGTCGGATAAATTTAAAATTATGTTAAATAGTTGTAAATAAAAAAGTCATGTTCGACTCCACTCAATACCTTGTCCTACCGACCACGGTCGGTCGTAAAATTTTATTGCTTTAAGTACGTTTACACTGCGTTGTAATAACAACTTTAAGCAATTCGCGTAAGGTTGATTTTGCAATAATATATGCTTGTAACATATACTGTTATGGACAGAAATAGTGTTTCGGGACACTTTCGAGCGTTACTTTTATTCGAGACTGTGCATCTTGGGTTTTTTGTATATCAATGTTTAATACATACTTTCCATCAGCAGTAGATATTAATATAACGTCGTGTTGATGTTTTACACCACTTTGTCCCGTTTTCGGAAATAGATTCATGGATGTTGGGAAAAAATCCTCTGCGAATGTAGCAACTATCATACATTCGTTGTTTATCAGGTTCCATTTTAATAATTTGTGATCATCGCTAAAAAATTGATAAATTTAATGTGTGTTGTTGACAACCTTAGCGTATTAATACCTTTCATTTGATTAAAAGTATTATGGCCTAAAACTTGTGACTAAATTCAGAGTCCAGATTTAGCGCTAAGTATGACGTCATATCCAAAATGTTTCTGAATCTGACACGAGGCCTGCGAGACTATAATTAAATTCAAAAGATTTAGAATTAAGCTAGATTTAGGTTCCGTTTATTTATATTGACTGTAATGTTCTAAAAACAACCCAACTTAGTTCACGATTTTTGCACTAATAATATCTAATGTATTGAAGCGATATTAAAATAATTTATACCTGCAAGAAAATACATCCTCAGTGTTGTTCCAACATACACAAGTCACGACCGCCGTATGTTTTGGTTCTTTAAAAGTTGAAATTTTTAGTTTCATTTTTGGTTTTAACTGATAACATTTCTTGTTTTGCTTTTTAAATAAAGTGTTTCCTTAGTAACGATTACAATTTCCGTCAGCGTCATCTAGGTTGTTCTAGTGATATTAAGTGAAGTTATAGTATTATTATTTTTCTGAAAATAAATATAATATATGCTAAATTTGTTATAATATGTACTCGTCTTATTTAATACTTTAAAAGAAAAAATAAGTATTATTAAATAGAGAACATGACAATATGCATTCAGGTAAGACATGTACTCACAACGACTGATATTTGACAAATGACAAATTCCAAATGACTGTTATTAAATTCCACATGGTTTTGATTGAACTTGGGAATTGAAATGGTGTTTTATTACAAGAAAGTTTTAATAAGTGTTGTCGGAATTATCTGAATATTGATTGTCCTAAAATGTCTGACGTGCCTGATCTAAGTTCTGATGAAGAGCATTACGAGGAAGATGAATGGCAAGAAATGGAAACCGCTAACACAGCCGTATCTTGTCTATTTTGTACGACCTCACTTCCATCGATCGAAGAAGCGGTGTCCCATTGTGAAGCTGTACATGGTTTTAAGTTAGGTGAATTAAAAGTAAAATTTAATATGGACTGTTATTCATACATAAAGCTTATCAACTACATTACCACACACAAAGCTGAACCTCAGGTTATTATGGCCTCGGACAAAGCTTTGTGGGATAACGAAAGGTATTTAAAACCAGTAGAGAATCATGAATGGCTTATGTTCGATTTCGATTCCTTAGCAGAAAAGCCTAGTTCTCCTAAATCATACCATGCTAATGTTGAAAATGGTTTAGTAACATTATCTCAAGCACATTTTATAGAACTTCAAAGGACAATTCAAACACTGACACAGCAATTAAAAGAGAGTAAAACTCACTTGCAATTGGCTAAAGAAGACATGTCTAAAATGAAAGAATCTATGAAATCTCTTGTAAATAGTGGACCCCTTGGCAAAAGTGATGAAAGTAGTTTGATAATTGATTGCGTGTCAAAAGTGCCTTTAGAAAGTGATGAGGGATACTTCAGTAGCTATGCTCATTTTGGGATTCACTATGATATGCTATCTGACAAAGTTAGAACAGAAAGCTATAGAGATGCAATTCTGAAAAATAAAGATACTTTTATGGGAAAAATTGTGTTAGATCTTGGTTGTGGTACAGGAATTCTATCAATGTTTGCAGCAACGGCTGGAGCTAAGAAAGTGTATGCCCTTGATCAGTCTGATGTCATTTATCATGCCATGGATATTATTCGAGAAAATAAGCTTGAAAATGTTATACAAACAGTAAAAGGAAGATTGGAGGACACAAAATTGGATGAAAAAGTTGATATTATTGTGTCAGAGTGGATGGGATATTTCTTATTATTTGAAGGAATGTTGGATAGTGTTATTTATGCAAGAGATAGATGCTTAAATACAGGAGGGTTGTTATTACCTAATAAATGTAATATAAGCCTGGTGGCTAATGGTGATGTAGATACACATAAAAAATTAATAGAATTTTGGTCAAATGTATATGGTTACAAAATGAATTGTATGAAATCTGAAGTTGTCCGAGAAGCAACAATAGATCTGGTTTCATTTGAGAATGTTTTGTCTGAACCTTGTGTTGTTAAAGAAATAGATATAAATACTTGTACAATTAATGTAATGAACTTTGAATCAGATTTTAAGTTGGTTGTTAATAAGGGTGGTCATCTTACGTCTTTGGTTGGTTATTTTGATACATTCTTTGAATTACCTGAGAATGTGTCTTTCACAACTGGTCCTCACAAAACACCAACACATTGGAAACAAACTGTATTCTTTTTTAAAGATTGTAAACAAGTCAGCAAGGGTGATGTTCTTCAAGGTAAAATTATTTGTACTAGACAAAAAACTGATGTGAGGTCACTTGGTGTTGAAATTCAACTTTTCGGGAAAGTTCATAGATATATTCTTAACTGAAATTTACCACTTGTTTTAAGTTACTTCTTGTTAAACATTCATTTAATGGATGGTACACCTCAAGTATTTTAAGATTGTTATTTTAGTCAATATATAATTACAAACAATTTAATTACTTAAAAAGTGTGAATTTGTATTAGACCTTCAATGACCTATAATTTGTAGAGATATTGATCATTTCAATGTGGCAATTGAAAATCTTATGATGCAGAAATATTGGTTTTTAATTGGCAGTTTGTTGCTTGTTTGTAAGTTGCTAGTAGCATTATCAAATTACAGAATTTTATTGTTAATGTGGCTGTGCTTGCAATTGTGTGCCTTGAATTTTTAATTTCATGTCATGTCACAATATGCTATTGAAATGTCAGGTTATAAACATTAATAAAAAAATTCTACGAAATTCTTTATTTAATTTTCCATGTTATACATTTCAGTGTACTACTTATATACATAATAGAAAAGGAATAAAAAATTACATTAAGTATTCAGGCTTTTTACATAGAAAAGGGTATCTATAAATTATATAGGCACTGAACAACGGAAATAATCAATTACTTGTTAATAAAAATGCTATTGCAGATAATACATTTGAAAATTTAAATAGGAAAGCGTTATTCGGCGGGAACAATTGCGCGTGTTTTTTATGCAGGCGTTAGTGTTTCAAAAATTAATACAGTGTGATTATTTTTATAACGTATGACTTACATTAAGACTATACTATTTCTGTGCTACATCTATTTAAAATAAAGACTGAGTACAACTCTTAGTTAGGAATTTCAAATAAATTTCTGTTTAAGAGTATGAATCTAAATCTACTTTATAAAGCTATATCCCGAATAAAATGGCGCTCATGTACACATACTGTCCACTACCTATTACTTACTCTATGTGTCTAATATAGTAAATATATATTAAAAAGATCTATTGTATATTTCATCTACGATAAGCGTCACCAGTTGGATTAATTCTACCCTTACATTCCCCGACTTTTGGGACCTAATGTGATTATGGATTTTTTTTGATATTTAAAAGGCATGGTCCCACATTTTAAATATTTGTAAAATAATACTGAATGCTATGAAAATACGAAAAGGGTGGGTCCGCGAACAAGTTTTATTTTTAGAGAAAAACTTTTACCGTTACCACGAAACTAAAGGATTATTCATAAATGTTCCGTAAGCCCTTATTAGTTTAATATTCATTCGAGGTTTAGATTTCTTTGCTCATTGATAAAATATATCCCGTATATATAGGAGTTAGTTTTAGTTGTAGAAACATTTTTCTGTAGGGTGCGTTTCCATTTTGTTACATAAAATCAACAGTTCGTAATACGACTGATATTTTGGAAATAGAACTTACGTGTTTTTGAAGTTATACTTCTTTAGGCGCGTTATGAAAATTTTATGAGAGTGAAATTTTACGATGCGCGCGCACCTATGACACAAAATTCGGAGTGTGATTATAGCGTGCGCAATCTACAAAAGAAATAGAATATAAGCTAACTTCACGCATATTCTATTTCTTAGCTTAGCAGCTTAACAAGAATTTTGAATATCCATGACAATTGACATCTGACAATGACATTTACCTTTTAAACAAATATAGGAGTTTGAATTATTGTTTAAAATAAAAGATTCTAAAAGTACCTAGTTATTTTCATTATACAAGTGCGAATTTTATATGTGCGTCTGAATTATAATCAGAAATTGAATATCTAAATCAATACTAATTAATATGATAAAATATTTGTGAAAAAACTGTGCCAACCTTCCTGAGTGCTTCAATACAATTGAGGTTAACTATCCGTATGTATTATCGAGTATTATTGTTGATTAAAACTGAAACATGAACTTAATTAACTTTTGTTTATTGCGTTTGTTACAGCAACTTTTTAGAAATATTCTACGACCCTATATATCAATAATTGAGAACAAAGATTTAAGCACGAATACTAATAAGGAGAAAATGAAGGCTTGGAGCGATATTACAGGGGTTGGGTGTTAAATACCACCGCACTTTTTTGACGATATTAATTATCTAGGAGTGTCCGGGGACCTTCATTGGAACACCTCCAAGTGAGTTTTGCTCCGGAAACGCGTCTAAATATTTTTATAAAAAATTTAAAGTTTTGTGTAATGTATTAAAATTTGTAAACAATCCGCCATTTTCTACTTTTCTATTGGTTATAAGTGATGTGACGTTCACTTAAAAAAATCGTGTTTTTAATTTATCGATTGTTAATAATCGTTTTATTTATTTATCGATTATTTCCTCATTTTTGAAATTTAAAGTTATAGAATAATCAACATTGAAATTAACCTAATTTCGTGTTGATAGATTATAGGGTTCCGAAATTTTTTGAAATTATCGATACCTACTCGTCTGTATTTTCTAATTAGTACTTGTATTTCATTGTTTGCAACTTTCTATATTATTTAATTTTTACTAGAATAAAGTGTTTACTTTAATATCCAAAAAGTACCCAAAACCGAATCAGAGCACCCCACTATCCACGTGGTCTTGTCTGTCTTACCCCTAGAGTGTATATAAATAATCGGAGGCGCGGAGGAAGAGCAGCCCCCACCCGCTGTAACAAACAATTGAATAAACAATTACTATTTAGATCGGAGCTGTCCACAAAAAAAAATATTATTTAGATTGGTTAGGTTAGAGTTAGTATATGAATATTTGGTCGCCGAAGGCGACCAGGACGCCGAGAAGCCGAGGCTTGAATAAACAATTACTATTTAGATCGGAGCTGTCCACAAAAAAAATATTATTTAGATTGGTTAGGTTAGAGTTAGTATATGAATATTTGGTCGCCGAGAAGCCGAGGCTTGAATAAACAATTATTTAGATCGGAGCTGTCCACAAAAAAAAAATATTATTTAGATTGGTTAGGTTAGAGTTAGTATATGAATATTTGGTCGCCGAAGGCGACCAGCCCTGCGATTCTGTAACTCACTTTTCGAACTCACACAGCGGTTTTCGCATCCGCGGTCGCTCTGAAATCAGTCGTGAAGCAATCATTTTATGATTTGGCATTCTGAAAAGGTGGGAGCTTGTAGTTTATTGTCTATCAGAATGCCAAATCATAGAATGACTGCTTCACGACTGATTTCAGAGCGACCGCCGATGCGAAAACCGCTGTGTGAGTTCGAAAAGTGAGTTACAGAATCGCAGGGCAGGACGCCGAGAAGCCGAGGCTTGAATAAACAATTACTATTTAGATCGGAGCTGTCCACAAAAAAAAATATTATTTAGATTGGTTAGGTTAGAGTTAGTATATGAATATTTGGTCGCCGAAGGCGACCAGGACGCCGAGAAGCCGAGGCTTGAATAAACAATTACTATTTAGATCGGAGCTGTCCACAAAAAAAAAAATATTATTTAGATTGGTTAGGTTAGAGTTAGTATATGAATATTTGGTCGCCGAAGGCGACCAGGACGCCGAGAAGCCGAGGCTTGAATAAACAATTACTATTTAGATCGGAGCTGTCCACAAAAACCAATATTATTTAGATTGGTTAGGTTAGAGTTAGTATATGAATATTTGGTCGCCGAATTTTCAATTATTTTTAATATTAAAATCGAATACAAAAATCGATTTTCACTTTTAAAAAAATCGATTATTTTTCACATCCCTATTAATTTTATAAACTTAATCGGCCATTTTGAATGTGGTTTATGCTAGACTAGCGGTAATTAGTTTTACAGTGCAAAGTTTACTTTATAAATCTTTATAAAATTTTTGACGCGTTTCCGGAGCAAAACTCACTTGGAGGTGTTCCAATGAAGGTCCTCCGAGACTCCTAAATAATTAGTATCATCAAAAAAGTGCGATGGTATTCAAAACTGTTACCTCACCTTCTCCAGACACAATGGATATGGCAGAGATGATACCGCAACGGTTTGAAGTAGATTTCAATGAATTTGATTGTGATGGTGTCGAGGTAGGAATGTTAATTATAAATATGATGGTGATGTTCAAGGCTCAACCTCTCAAGCATAGGCACATACTTTATTCCCCTACAGGGTAGTTAGAGATATTGTAATACCTCAAAACATCCATGTTGCTCTTGTAGTACCGAAACTCTGTCCAGCCAGAAGTGAGCCCATTCCCACTTATAATGGACAGTGGGTATAATACACCTTAATACCTGAGTGCGAACCACTCACCATGACACTTAAATTAATAGATGTTATTTATATATTTCAGGATATTACAAATAAAATCATTTTGGAAACAATTGCTATCCCAAAAGCAAATAAAGCCAACAATGACAAGGTAATAAATCAGTTTTGACATAACTTGAATACTAAAAAAGCCAAACAAAGGTGTGCACAACAGTGACAACATAACTTAACAATTTCATTATTTTGTAGGATTAAAGAAAGGTTAAAGAAAATCATGTCGAACTGATCAACAAGAATCCCCAAACAACTCAAAAGAAACCTACAAGGAAGACACCGGTATTATATTTAAATTATCTCTATCTCTAAATAGAATAAAAAGAAAGTTGCTATCCAGGTCTGTAGCATGTGCTACAAATTACATTATTAACACATTTATATAATTATATTAATATAAATGTGTTAAAAATTTTATAATATGAATTATAAAATTTTTTTATTTTGTAAGAGAATAATTATAAATATTTATTTATTAAATTTTTCAAATGTAAACTGAACTTTATTGACTATAATGACTCCTTTTCCAGTCTTTGATTATTTAATTGTAATTAATTATTTGCATGCAATCAAAATCTATTTCTAATAATGCCAAAGAAGTATAACTTCTTACGCGCGTACATAAGTACACGCACCCTTTTTTTTTTTAATCAAGGCTCTTATTTGATTAGATTTGCACGAAACTGACACTTGACATTATTAGTTGACGTAAAACATTGGCATTTTAAAATTGTCTACAAAATTCTTTCTTTACCAAACCTTATTACCAATGCACTATATTTTATAAATATTTGAGTATAAATAGAACTATTTTGGCTCTTATTATAAATAAATTAAAAACGCGAATGACATTTATATTTCCGTTCTAATAATATCTTTTTATCTGGCATGAAACAGGTATATGTATTTTAGAAAATATGGTTTGGTCGAGTTTAAGCCATTCCAATCAGAAATATTAAAATTAATAAGCGTATTATATGAATTAATATCTACTTAACAAATAAGAGACTCTTATAGACACTATACGTAAACTTGCTCCGAAACCAGCGATTCTATAATACAATAGCTCTTACATTAAACATTTACATTAAAGGTTATTCGTAGGTAATTTATATTATTTGTGGAATATATTTAGTAATAAGGACAAAAATAGTTAAAATTCCATAAATATTTCGTAGGGCCGTTGCGAAACGTGTCTATGGTAATTTTAGTGCAAAATTAGATTTTGTGTGCGTTGGCGTCAAAAACATGGTGGCTACTGAACAAAATAAGTTTTGAAGGCTACATTTAATATAACTATAGAAGGTTTACGATCCTAAAGAAATAAACGTCTAAAATAGTCGGACTGTCAATTAGTTACTACATTGTGTAAAACTAAGCCACACACGTACCTACATCCAAATATCTATAACGTATATTTTAAATTTTAAGTTGCTGCTATAGCCGACTGTCAATTGTCAGAAATAGAATTTAATGTACATTTGTATATTTTGATATAAGTACCGTGGTATAATCTATCTTTAATAGCATGAAAATACACACACAGAATGCATATTTGGAATTATATAGCCTATGGTAAAATAAAATAAACATAAATTCTATTTATAAATTGTTATATACATATAAAAATGATATGATTTACATGCAAAAAAACATACGAGGCCTGCTCGAATAAAAAAATCTATACAAATCATAAATAATTATGTCTATCCTTATTTGTATCTACAATAATTATCTTTTAACTATTATAAGGGAAGTCGGTAACTTAGTGCTTATATCAGAATAATTTTATTACTATACATTCAAAATTGCAATGATATAATATTTACGCACATTACAGGTCTTTTATTTATGTATACAATTTAGGTAAGTACGGTTACGCTTTTGGCGTAAAGTTCGTATGAAAGGTTTTTCCGTCAATTATGAGATATTAATCTATACATTTAAGGAAAGTTAAAGTGAGTGTCAAATATGTTAAATATTCCAAAACAAAATTACGAATTGTTAATTAACGAAACCTTAGAGGTGGTTAGCACATTATATTTATTTTATATAACGAAGCGCAAAAGAACAACGGAGGTATGTAATTTCAACAGATTATAAATTCAATTTTTAATAGTTTTGTTGCCGTTGACTTATCTTTGACATTCCCCCGTTAGCAATATAAAATGACCTGAGAATGACGAGCCGCGAAACAGGTAAACGATTCGTAACTCTTGCAACTTTGCTGATGGAGTACAGTAAATATTTGAAGAGGATGACGCGAAGAAAGAGGTCGTTTCGAAAGGACCTCTTCACTTTAATAAGGTTTTGAGGATAAAATAAAAATGTTATCATTAACAAGTAAAATAGAAGGTATATACACAAATGTTATTTCTAGATAACCCGCTCAGCGGGATATCGCCTATTCGAATGTAACTCACTACGCTGTCTTCCAAAAATTTACATATCGAAGTATTTTATTTACTATATTTTTGCCTGCTTAATATCTAATTTAATTACAGATAGTCTAAATTATATTAAAATAGATTTAAGTCATTGTTACAAAATTATAATTAATAAATTAAAAAATAAATTATTATTGACAATGTCATGTTTAAGCACTGAATGTGTATATGGATCAACAGTTTTAATTATCTGTTTCTACATCACAGAGTAAACCCATTTTGACAGATTGAGACGAACAAATTAGCTAAATAGTGTAGACTACGAGTACATATTATAGCGAATCATCTAGGATGAGATTCAGAAAAAGACAGCGCGAACCCATATGTCAAAATCTAATATATATTTGACGTATAGGTGTTTAGTAAAAAGTCATTCCATTTGACACACTAATAGTTCTTTGCCTTTCCCATTAGGGATAAATTAATATCATCTGACACAATAATAAGATAGCTCTAATAACGTAACTTGGACATTTCACATAATTTTACTTTTATGCTATTTGACAAGTAAGTTATAATGTCTTATAACAGACGCTTCAGTTAGTTAAAATACTGTTGTAAGGATCATTTGTAAATGATACTAGATAAGTACTAATGGTGCGTTTATGAATTAAATTACATTATTAAAGACTGATCAAAGACTCAAATTAGCCATTTAACATACGGAAATAGGCCTAGGTTTATGGCACCACAGGTTTTTTTGTGTCCGCCAAACCGAAACTGTTATTCAAGTCTCGAGATTGAATCCAGCCGGCTTTGTCTAACTTCCATAATGGATCCGATATTATTCGGTTAGTCTTGGTGTATATGAACCGATGCGCTCAGTCATAACCTTGCGATTTTATTTAAACCCACAAACGTTTCGTTTTCATTATGTGAAATGAATTGCAGATAATGTGAAAACATAACAAATGTGGAACGTAATAAGGAAATATTAAACACTTTAGTAACGATCTTAATGGATCTATGGAGTGTCTTTGTTGAAGAGCGAATGCAGCATATGGGTACAGCTGTGCTTGACACTATTTACAAGGTTGGCCAAATATTATTCAGCTGGTGGTTGCGGCGGTGCCCCGTTCGTCTCCTCTTCTAGTTTGGCCCGGTCTTCTGCATCTGAAATTTGAATATTTTTTATGAATTAGTGTTCTTATGTAATGAGTAACTAAGGGAGCGTTCAAGTATTACGTCACGCATTTTTTGGAGATTCTTGACCCCTCGTTCCCTATGTAACGCGCCGTAACGTTTTTCTGTACCCAATAGAAAATGTTTTGTGAACACCCAGTGGCTCTTTATACCTAAAAGTAACCATTATGTAGTGTAAAGTAGCTATTGGGAAGTCGAAAATAATATTAACAATAACGCGTAACTCAATCCCCGCCCCGCATCGTAACGTTTTATTAGAGGGGACCCCCCTCCAACTGAGTCCACCAATCATAGAATGACTAGATTTACCAGAAAATAGCAGAGAATTCTTGAAAAACTCCCGCTGCACCGCGTCATATCTTTTTAAATTACTGAAGTTATAAATTATTATGTGAAGTATTATTACGGGGATATCGGAGTTTTTAAGAAATAGGGAGTGTAGTTGTGTCACTGCGCATACAGGCGCTCAATATCCTTTGGGTTAATAGCCTTTAAATAAAGGTTAACCGTGGTTTAATCGGTTTATATATTATAGAGGCACATTTAGTATTGTTGAGTAGGGTTGGCCAAGTGGCTTCAGAGTGCGACTCTCATCCCTGAGGTTCGATCCCTGGCTGTGCACCAATGGACTTTCTTTCTATGTGCGCATTTAACATTCGCTCGAACGGTGAAGGTACAAGTAGCGGCACGAAACTCTAGCGCTGACCGTTATTGCGCAGAAGTAAAAACTAAGGTAGCTGAGGGGGGCTAGCGGAATGAAGAGCGGGCGCGCGTAGCGTCGATTGGCTCTCCAGTCGCATTCCGTCCCCCGCACCGATACGACGCCCCGCGCACATCCCGTGTACAGTCGCGTCATTAATATTATTGTTACTGTTTAACACGTTTTGTTGTTTTTTGTTACGTTTGAATTTGTTAGTGTTTTGTTGTTTGTTATTTGTTTTTAAGTTTGTTTGTGACTTTAAAGTGAATATGCCTAGAACAAATACTGTTTTGAAAAGACAAGCCAGGAAAATGGTTTATGACGTGAATTGTTTTTTAAAAAGGGAATTTAACGAATTAATTGATTCTTTGAAACAAATCCAAAGTGAGATTCAGCTTAATATCGTTATTTAGGTAATCATTAATCAAAGTGGCATATAATGTATTGCGTGCGCGACAGTACACATGCGCAGCAATCCCCTCCACGTATCGGCCAGCGCTAGACTTACGTGCCGCTGCCTATAACATCGTGCTTTCCACTTTCCAGACGCTCAAAAAAGTCACAGCGTGTGTCGGACACAGAAGGCTGATCACCTAATTGGCTATTGGATTGACAAATGATCATGAATCAGATACAGAAATCTGAGGCCCAAACCTAAAAAGATTTATTATATTAGATTTATTTATTTGCGCCACTGATTTTTTTTACATTTTGGTATTTTAATTTTCAGGAACTGATTTTTTATCCCATGAAAAACTTTAAACTGTAAATTAAATTGAGAAACAGTGAGATGAGTAGAAAATACCTTTTGCGGCTTGCTCTTTCCAAATCTTTTTGTTGTCCATAAGGCAAGTGACCCATGGTTTCTTTATTTTTAATTTTGTGACCTCAGCGCCTGAAACGTATTCATTTACATTGAATCTATAGAAATCAAACAAAAAACTTTATTATACACAAAATAATATTTAGGTAAAACAAAGTGCACCAGTATTCTGTGTCCTGGGCAGCCAGTCTCTTCCTTTTGACATGTTAATAATAATTGTACAACGCATGCCCATGTGCGGCTTGATTACTAGACGTTGCGTAAAGATGTCTCTCTTCATCATTTACCATTGAGTGTTCAGAAGAGTTGATCGGATTAATACCAGCAGCTGAGTTTCATCATCGGACGTCGTTCCACTACTGAGGGGTATTTAAGGCAGATTTTGCAGCGCACCATCAATATATGGAACCAGCTAACCACTGAAGTATTTCAGCACCAATTCGACTTAGGGTCCTTCATAATAGAGTGTACCAAATCCTAAAAGGCTACGCACTTGCAAGCCCTCTGGCATTTAGTGTCCATGGACTGCCTATTAATTAACACAAACTAAGCTTCCTGCCCCCTTTTGCCCCCTGTTATATGTACATATGCCTATGTGTATTGGATATACACAGATGCATATAGAGCTGCTTTCTTGATCATGGTTTTACTGTTAATCTTTTACTGATAACTAACTTAAAACTAAATGTAACTATTTGAGGACCTAAAAACTTACTAGCATTATCCTGACTATGAGCACCTTGGCTGGTACTTGTTGCGTTTTTAGTATTGGAATGCAAAGGGCCTAGGATGCATTCCAACATATCTGCGCATACGCCCAAACTTGGCTCCACAATAAAGTCTATAAAACCGATTTGAGATTCAGCGACTAGTGTGTTGTTCCTATCACAGAGTGGACTGAATGGAAGGCCCAGTTCTCTTTCTTTATCTCCCTGGAGGAAGAACTCATCTAGAAGACTCATTGTCCATCTATGATGAAGGTCCCATCTCTGAAATATAATTAAAATATTGAATATCATATGACGAAAATTAACAGAGAAAAAAGATTTAAAGGTTTTTTGTTTTTATATTTGAGCTGTTATTGTATCTACCTATTATTATTTTATAAAAAGAGTTAATGAACAAAAATCTTAGTAGTAAATGCAAATGAAATATTATTTCTGGAGTCTCTTGAACAAATTGTACTGGACTTGACTTGGTATTACATTATTGTTCCTTATATAAGGCGTACTAAATTTAGTTAATTACAAGTATTATTCAAGCATTATATAGAAAATCTGAGGCTCTCATGAATATTTTAAAATCCGATTTTCGCGTTAAGTCGTTCAACATTCATACAACTTAATAAGTAGTTATGAAAATGAACGAGCAATAAGCCTCAAAAACCTTGATCAATTTGATGTCAAAAAAGTGACGTCACATCCTCTATCATAAAACTTTTTATCAAAATAATTATTAAGAACGAACCTTAGCCGGGTGTGAGATATCACAGCAGTGTAGAACAAGAGAGACTGCCTTGGATTTGTCCACGGTAGGTTCGGCCAGGGTTAGTAGAGACCTCATGTTCTTCAGCTGTTGGAAATGGAATGACATATCTGTGGCCAGTACCATGTCTATCACCAATGTTCGGAACTCTCGGAACTCATCCCGTGATAGGTTGAGAAGAATATTGTTTTCTTCCTCTTTCAGCAATCTGAAATTAATGTGTTTTGTTAGTGGAAATCAGTTAAAAGGGATACCTCTTTTCTAAATATATCTTATGTGATATTGCGAGCTACTCGCTCGATTGTAAGAAAGTTGCATGAATCTAACGTTGTGCCTTAAGTTTTCATGTCATTTTCACACACTATTTATAACATATTTTCATAAGTATTTGATTGTTCTCATTATATGTGTGATGTTTGAGAGCATAAGTAAATTAAATAGATGGGGCCTAAAACATGTGCCTGACCTGACCGTTACCTAAGTATCGCAATACAGCGAGGAAATGCCGCCAGCGTTAAAGGTACACTGCCACAGGGAACAGAGTTTTTAAATTTGATTTAATTCTCTTTTTATTCATTTCTAACATTCGCTCGAACGGTGAAGGAAAACATCGTGAGAAAACCGACATGTCTTAGACCCAGAAAGTCGACGGCGCGTGTCAGGCACAGGCGGCTGATCACTTACTGACGATAGATTGAAAAATGATCATGAAACAGATTCAGAAATCTGAGGCCTAGAAAGAGGTTGTAGCGTCATTGATTTATTTTTTCATATTCTGATTGTTTTTTTTTATTATTTTCATTATGTTCTAATTATTGTATATGTGTTGTGTAGTTTTGGCACTTCTTACGCTTATTTCATTTTATTTATCATTAAAAGGTTGATTGAAAGAAATCGCACGAAAGCTCCGCGTTATTTTTAATTATTATAATTTGTACTGATATTTACCACGAAGTTTAAAATAAATATATTTTTAAATAATATACCTTAAAAGAAAAATCAATTAGCCAGCTGGCTGCAAGGGTTCCCAGATCAATTAATCCTATCAAATACATAGAATTTCTATTAGCCTTAGGTAATTCTAAGAAACTAATCTAATGTAGGATACCATTGACAAAGGATAATTGAAATCTTTTCTATCTCTAATTAAACGTCAGTCGGACCTGTGGAAGATAGGTGTGACAGTTACATGGCTTTGGTAAGAAAATATTCAGTATTTTTAATGGAAATTATTTGCGGTAGAACATGTCAAACGTGCCTACCACTAGTAAAAACAATCAGAAGCTTATAGTACGTCCTGTACATGGACGGAGTAAATTGAACATACGAAGGCGTAACAGATGGACGACCACAAATATAAGGAAAAGGACAAAAATATGCGATGTATTCAGAAAAATTTAAAAACTTAAATGGACTTGGACTGATCAGGAGGTCGAAAAAAGAAAAATTAACGAAAGATATATAATGACATCCTTGGGAAAAAGAAAAGAGGCAGTTAAATAAAGAACTGGGAACACAGTCTGCTCGAAGGAAAGTGAAAGAGACGAGTGGGAAGAACAAGAAGAGGCCTATGTTGGAAGACAACTAAGCAGCTAGCTAGCAGCTGATGCAGCTTAGGTTAAAATTATGTAAATGTATAGATTTGGTCTGTGAATAAAATGTCTTATTATTATTATTTACGGTAGTCATGCTCTACTTTTACATCCATATTTCACTCCAAAGGAATCTTAGTCTGCATTGGCCCCTTAGGGCCCTGAAGAACGTCCTTCAGGGACGCTGCCTTTTCTGTTTCCCGGCATCTATATGTAGCGTTACATAGTTTCCATCATATATTTTAGTAGATCTTTTATTAAAACAACAAAGCCAAATATATATTAACAAAGAATTGTCATGAACTGTGTTACACTTGTAAAAAGTACACCATGCTTTTTTGGTGGTTATGCCATTAAATTGTAGCTTATGTGAAACGTTGGTACTTTCAACACTATCAAATAATAAACAAATATTTTGCAATAAAATAATATTGCGGGTATAAATTGAGATGTAAGCTATTCTATCTTTTAAGTTAGATCAAACTGCACACGATGTGCAAATTTGATTGAAATCGGTGCAGTAGCTTGGGAGTCCATAGCGGACAAACAACGTGACACGTAATTTTTATGTATTAAGATTTTGAAGATGCTCATTTTAAAGGAATATAAAAATCTGACTATACCGTGTGACTGACTCGTCTGTTCACAACCCATTACTACAAATTTATTTATTGGGCTCCGACCGGGATTCAAAACCCTGGTTTTATGATTTTGGAACTAATCATAAGCTATATTGGAATTTATTTATGGATTTTGATTACCATTTCAAAGCATTGACTCCATTTGTATTCCGCTGTCGCATAAATAATTTATTAATTTGTGCTCGAAGCGATACAATTTATATTATAATGCCGAGACACTTCATCTTGGGGGGAGATTGATGGAAGCTGAACGCAAACAGCTTTTATATAGTTATTATTAACCTTTAACGCGAAAAGTTTCGTGATGTTGCATGAGGTGCATCACTGTATAAAACAAAGTCGCTTTCTCTGTCCCTATATCCCTATGTATGCTTTAATCTTTAAAACTACGCAACGGATTTTGATGCAGTTTTTTTTTAATAGATAGAGTGATTGAAGAAAAAGATTTATATGTATAATACATCCATTAAATAGTGGAGAAATACTGTTATTTTTGAGGTTTCTAATGTGATGTCGTAAATAATTAAATTTTTTCCGCTTACATTGCAAACGCGTGCGGGCCACGGGCAGTATTATGAATAAATCAAAACTACTGGATCGATTTTAATAATTTTTTCAGTAAGTGACATAGGCTATATATTTTATACCCATGCCAAGCCGGAGCGGGCCGCTATGTTTTTATATACAACGTTCACAGTTTTTCTGTAGTATCAGCATTGCAAAATTGTCTTAAGGAATTTTACATTTTACATTGTTAGTCAAAGTCAATTTTTATATTATTTGTATCGTACATATCATATCATACTTTATTAAAGTTATGTTAACTACAGTGTCTTACGCAAATAATCATTTATTGAATAGAACATTTTTTCCAAAAGTAATACACCAAGTCCCTTTTTAAAGACTCTCGTCGGAAGATCTTTTAATTCTTTGGGTAATTTATTGCAAACCTTAATTGCCATACAAAAGGTGTTTTACCTAAACAGTTCCAGATTGATTTTTGGCACAGCCAATTTCTTCCCATGTCTACTTCTTACTTCGAATTAAAAATGTTTAAGTATCTCATGAAAAAAAATATAATTGCCATAGAAAAGGTGTTTTTCCTAAACAGTTCCAGATTGATTTTTGGCATAGCCAATTTCTTCCCATGTCTACTTCTTACTTCGAATTAAAAATGTTTAAGTATCTCATGAAAAAAAATATAATTGCCATACAAAAGGTGTTTTACCTAAACAGTTCCAGATTGATTTTTGGCACAGCCAATTTCTTCCCATGTCTACTTCTTACTTCGAATTAAAAATGTTTAAGTATCTCATGAAAAAAAATATAATTGCCATAGAAAAGGTGTTTTTCCTAAACAGTTCCAGATTGATTTTTGGCACAGCCAATTTCTTCCCATGTCTACTTCTTACTTCGACTTAAAAATGTTTAAGTATCTCATGAAAAAAAATATAATTGCCATAGAAAAGGTGTTTTTCCTAAACTGTTCCAGATTGATTTTTGGCATAGCCAATTTCTTCCTGAGAAGTTCTTTAAACGTTATAAAGTCAATTAAAACAGTGTAAATATTAAACAACATGTGAGAACGTAAAGCGTAACGATCTGATTGGTCAACAGCGTCTCCAGTCGTATACGCGTTTATTCGCGACATGTTATTTCGTCTATTTGACAAATCAGAATCGAACGAAACGACGAACGTATCGGACGAAGTCTCGAGTCTTTTGTATTACATTCTCACCCCCGTATTGATGTTAAAATTTCAACGTTAAAGACAAATTAATGTATATCGCGTCTGGTATCGTTATTAATTATACGAACGGAAACTAATTTCAATAACACCGGGGTAAATTTCATTGTTTGATCTTGAAAGTGTTACATACCTTTAAATTAATATTCTAAAAGAATTAACTTCAACGATTTATTTAAACAAATTATTCATACAAATTAAAGTTAATTACGATTGTTAAGTACTTTTTCGTCTTCTGTCAAATTGTTTTTACGCTGTGATGAAAAGACGGTTCCAATTAGACGGATTTATTTTTGTTCTTTTTAAATAAAACGTTAGTTTATAGTATAATTATAATTATAGAGTATATATTGTTTCTTTTTATAACAGTATTTCCGCTATATTTCTTGATATGAACATTTTTAATTATCAATTAATAAAATAAAAACACGTAATTCCTAAATGATTCGTCAGTAAATTGTTATAAAAATTTATGGTAACACCCACAATATTTGAAATAATTTTAAGGTATTAGGAATTATAAAGATCGCGTGGACGTTCACCAACCAGATGGACTTATCAAGTGAAAGTCCTCTTCTATTCCTCCTCGTACCGAAATTGGTGGAGGAACAGTAGTCGCGCCAGTTCTTACTATAAAGCTGACCACGATATTAAGACATGAGTTACCGGCCCAGAGAGAAAGAAAAGGATTAGGAATGATCATTCTATATATATAATGAACAGTGGCAGTGGGGCCCAGTGACAAGCCGAGGTTCGAGTCTCACAGGAGACGCCCTTGCGCTAGTCGCGGGAAACACGCCCATTCAGGCAGAGCTACGCTTGCCAAAACAGCCCGAGCTGAGCTGTAAAGGCCCTTAAGGCCAACAGCGAGATTCCATTTAAAAAAAAAAGGTTCCAGTGGAAAAATTTGATTGTTACGAGAGGCAATCGAAATCAGCTGCATAACACAACGTGGAGACTTAAGACTGAAGCTAATCAAAATGAAACTATAAAATAATGAGTTAATATGGAAAATCTTTATTAAAATTATTTATTTACTAAAACCTTTTTAGGAAAATTTAAGTTTCTTAAGTGAACAATTAGATTAATATTAAAAATTATATATGTTACGTATTGGCATGAGTATAAGAACTTTTGAAAGGTTAAGATGGCATGGCAAAAATAAGGTTGGGAAACACGGAGCTTTAAGTTTTTTTTGTTTAGTTATTTTCCCGAGTCAATTCTCGCTAATAAAATAGAGCATAAATTTGATGTTAGTTCTAAATAAATCCGCCCTAAGTGTTAAAAGAAGCAAGGGTCTCTCAAGGGAAATTACGTTGTTGAAATAAGTCCACACCTTATAAAATATATTCAAGACATTTCGAAATATTGCCACTTTCATATAAACTACGAGTTTATATAACTGACTGAAAAATGTACTGTAATTTTTTTAAAACTACTTGTGAGAAGCTAAAGACACAGATTTTTTTTTACTGTTTTCCAAATGATAAATTACTTTTAATGGTCATAACTAGTGTTTTCTCTTATAAATTTGTATATTATTTAAATGTTATGAAAAAAATGAATTATTTACAATCTTAAAAATAATAAAAATAAAATAATTTGAATTAAATAGTGGTTACCTGGAACGGTCAACACCAATTTTTTATTTGTTAAATACATTTTATGACTTGAACTCTGAGGTTTATTTAGAGAGAAATTCACAGAAAAACCTAAAAAGTTTTCATTCCAGAATACCGAACAGTCTCTGGGGTAGCATAGCAAATTGTTCCGTGTTGGTATGTACTAAAAAGGTAGGCTAAGTAAAAAACAGGCGAAACGAATAAAACACTATTTTGACCGGATTGAAGTTATGTATTATTATAAATTTACAACTATTTAACATAATTTTAAATTTATCCGTCCGTTTATAGTCACCGTGACCACGCACGCTGTAAAGCACGCGAAACGTCGGATAAATTTAAAATTATGTTAAATAGTTGTAAATTTATAATAATACATAACTTCAATCCGGTCAAAATAGTGTTTTATTAAATGAATAAAAGTTATGTTAATCAAAGACAATACTAGGCGAAACGAAGTTCGCGGGGACAGCTAGTAGTATATAAGAATAAATCTTAAGCATTAATTAACATACCTGAATGCTGCGCTTATATGATGGTTTTCTAGTACTGCTCTGTCGTTGTATAATAGTGCTGTATCAGACCCCGACATTACGTGGAAATTGTTAGTTGTGCCTGTATGTTCGAAGTCATGCACGATCGCTGCCACCAACGTTGCGAATATCTCTAAGTCTGATAGCCAGTTCTAGAAAATATCACAAAAGTTACAGAGACAACAAAAACACAATTCTTGTTTAATATTAGAGATATCGAAATTCTGCTTCTAGTATTTACACAATACAGTAATCAATCCTATAACACGGTATATTCCGCGTTATAGGAACCACGTTGCAGGAGTAATCTCGCATAACGCACTTGTATGACCCCATATAACGCGTAAGGTACAAATGATTTACGTTTAACTTTTCTTGTTAATGGGGATTCAAATCGAATATTTAGAAAAAAAATCAGTTTTTGATAGTTCGAAATTACCATACTACGTTTAAAGTAAAAAATAAAATACGTTCACAGACTAATACTTAAGTTTTCCAAGCTAAGGGAAAGTTAGCTAAGTGAAAGATTGATTGTTCAAACTCCTCAATTGAAATTGATTTTGGAATAAATTTATACAGACATTTAGCGAATTTAAAAGCTAGTAATTGTGTCAGACGACTTAATCAACCCTGGACATATGCCAGAGGACTCTTGAGAAAATGAAAATTTGATTTATGATGAAGCGTTGTATAAATTATGTAAATCGAAATATATGTACAGTCATGTCTTGGTAAATATTATGTGCATATGAAATTGGACATTTGAAAAATAGCGAAATGTTGTAAGTACGTAGACACATAATATTTCCATTTCTACTTTTAATAATAATAGAAGATTACATTTCATCTCGCACATACTGAAAAAATCATAATAAATATTATTAAGCTATTGCATAGATTTAATCGCGGGCTTTGAGCTCGGCGACCGATTCAAGAAATTCCGTAACGAAAAAACCTTACACACGATGACGTAATATAGGTGCGGCAAATAGGCGTTAGAGTGGGACAGAACGCATACGAGTCTGGTAGAGTGGTAGATTGAAATAATATCAAAGAAAAACAAATACTGCATAAATAAAAAATAAATAAATAATTATAACTGCATAAGTTGATAAAAAATGCTATGCAATAGCTTTACCGCGGCAGTCCCCGAGTGCCACACTTTTTTTTTATGTTGTTAAATTTAACGGTAGTACTATTCGTTAAAAAAGGCTCACGACAAGTAGTCAAGCGATGTGCCATAGACTGTTCTTGACAGATGGCAGTTGACGTTGACTGCTGACAGTTGTCACTGTCAGTTATTACTTAAATTGTTACACAGATGTTTAGGTGACCTTGTAGTATAATGTTAACCTCTTGTATAATATATTATTAGATATCTCTGTGTGTTGTCTTTATTGTGACGTCATTTTTGTTTTGGGTAACTCTGCTTAGATGAAATTTAATCCATCAAATCACCGTGTTAAGACTTAAAACGCGACGTTGGCGGAATTGTGATTTACACAGAAGTCGCCATTAAAAATAAAGTGAAGTGAATTGAATGTTTAGGTGACTTTTATTTGTTATGTTTCTTTTAAAAATGAAATTAACATGGACACACTTGTCGGGAGCTTCTTGCGTGTACGCCGCCATTATTGCAATGTATATAGTAAACATACCATGAGGCCAGTCTGACACAACATATAATGCACAGTTTGAGCTACGTCCGCAGCATGAAGGTTGTTGTGGTACGGATTATGAAACTTGCAATAACCTTCCTCTATTCTACTGAGAAAGTTTTCCAACGTCGGAGGTTGTACCTGAAATAATTACGATATTTAACACGCAATATTTTTACGTATTCATGGTAGTAGTATTGTTACGTTATCCGCTGATAAAAATGTCCTATTTAGAGGTTAATTGTTGATTATTTATAATTAATACCTCTGCGTCAACATACATTTTAAATATAATAATAATAATTAGTGGCGCTACAACCTCTTTAGGACTTGGCCTCACATTTCTGAATCTGTTTCATGATCATTTTTATATCTAATAGGCAAGTAGGTGATCAGCCTCCAGTACCTGACACACGCCGTCGACTTTTTGGGTCTAAGACACGTCGGTTTCCTCACAATGTTTTCCTTCACTGTTCGAGCAAATGTTAAATGCGCACAAAGAAAGAAAGTCCATTAGTGCACCCGGGTATTGAACCTACGACCTCAGGTATGAGAGTCGCACGCTGAAGCCACCAGGCCAACACTGCTCCTTTTTTTAACACATTCTAAGCAAAACCAAACAATCAGTATTTTATATTTCATCAAAATTCGACAGAAAAATTGGTTAAAACATTGTTAAAATACCGAATTGGTTTCATAAGATGATAGAAGTATATAAATGAAAACAAAACTATAAAAGAGCGAACTGTTTGGCTTCCTTTTTCACATTTAAGTTTCCAAGGACGCTTTTATCTAGATTAGAAATGTCCTAGAAACTTCTCAACACTTTAAAACTCATTATAGTGGCGGCTTCACGAGGAAACTCTTACAGGATTGAATTTCTCTTGACTTTACATGAATGAGTATATTACAAATTGCTTATTCTTAATATAATTTGTAGTTTTTATTGTAGTTAGAATTTTATAATATTTTAGAATTATTTAGCTAGCAAATAAGCAAAGGCCAAAGCAGTGGAAGGTTCTCATTGGAAACTGACTCATCAAAATCGGTTCTGTAGTTATGAGGAATGGATATCCACTTCTGGGTGTCAGTAAAATATAGATTCTCAAGTAAAAATTCGTTTTAATTTTTTTAAATTACTTTTATATTACATCATAATATATGAACTACTATAATTTTGTTATTTAATAAAAAAATTATCGCAAGAATATTGTATTAATAATATTCAAGTAAATAAAAAGCAGTGTTCGCTCTTGGCTTCGATTCCCGGCTGTGCACCAATGGACGTTCTATGTGCGCATCTAACACTTGTTCATACGGTGAAGTACACGTCGTGGGTAAACCGGCATGTCTCAAATCCAAAATGGACGACATGTGTCAGACAAAAGGCTGATCGCATACTTGTCTATTAAATAAAAAAAAACAAAGAAACGGATGCAATCTAATACCAAGACCCATTATAATAACAAGTAAATCAGTAAAATATTACTTCCATAAAACACAAACTTATTAGGAAATATTGATGAATTCAAAGCCGATAAAATACTTTTAAAATAATATCGCAAAGTATCTCTAAGTATTCTCAACAAGTATCCGATAAAAAGTTTTTAACGAGTTATCGTAGTCTATTAAAACTTATTTTTGCCTACAAATTTTTGTACCTTAAAATTATATACAATTATTATTATCAGCTATATATTTATATCTGCGATGTTCTACGGAATATCCCCAAAATGGGTGGGAGAAGTTCAAATTGAGGATGTGAATTCACAAGTCGCGTTTTAATAAAATGTATTTTAGTTAAAAATAATATGCAAACAATAGATTTTCATTAGAATGGAGTCTTCATAGGAATCGCGTAGCCAGTTATTAGCTACGACGTAGCTTGTAGATCCAAACGCATTATGCTTTGATAGTCTACGGTATTTAAATTTATATATATATATATATGTATATGTATTATATTTAATGGTAATTTAGTTATAAATATGGAAAGGTTTGTAAATAGAGTCACACAGATTATTTATAATTTTATTTGTTATATATTATACACAAGTGCACCGTTGCCTAATAACTTATGTAACTTGCATTTTTATGTTTTTGTATAAGCTAACAAAGTGTTAATATATAATAAATATTTATCCACTACAGCCACAAAGCTACTAATATATGTATAATTTACTTACTTTAAACTTATGTATCATTCCATATCGGTTGAGGAGTTCATATCCGAGATACTTGACCGGATATCCGGCGGACGCATCGTGTAATGCGAAAACATCAAAGGACCATTCATCTAATGTCTGAAAGAATAGTTTATAGAATAAGATACATGAATTAATAACATAACATATATAAAGTACATAATATACAAGCAAGTTATAAAATAATAATTTAATTAATAGTAGCATTCCAAAGAATACTACGTCAAGTTGTCTTATTATTATATTCATATAGTTTCTACAGCTTAAAATACATAATAATATATCTTAACTTGAGTTAATTAGAGACCTTACTATCACATTATATTTTTATAATCCTTAGAGGTAGAATAATGCGGAAATGTTGGAGAGACTGGGGCTGGGTGTGCCAAAAAATCACACTCGAGCGCGAACAATTTTACTCAGAGAAGCGCCATTTACGCGTGTCTTACGCACCCTGAATATTATTGCATGTGAGATGGATATATTTAGTTGCACATTGGGTGAATTCACAAGAACTGCATTAATAATAATTAGTTATAAATATGTTTAGAATTTTGTCTTATTTATTTTTGTATATATACGTATAGTTTAATTTTTATATTAATAAGATTTATATTGTATTAAGTTACAGTAATAAGGAAATAAATAAATAACTAAATATATTATAAGTTTATTATATTTTATGACCTGTTCTTTCAAAGTCAAAGTCAAAAATCATTTATTCATGTAGGTACCTAACACAATGAACGTCAAAAAAACTTTACATTTACTGCCACTTCTCAAATCAAGGACGTAGAACGGATGAGAAGAACTGGCAATAAACTCTCCGCCACTCTTTTTAATCGCCAAGTTTTTTGTTTTACACAACGTTTGTAAGGAGCTGCGACCATTACACCATGTTCGACATGACCACATATTTTGTATATGTTTATATCACCATATTTTGAAATCAATTCAAATATTTATCAAAAAAACTTAGCCTAAATGCACAAGATCTTAATTACGATCAAAACTCCGAGCACATTCAATAAATCGTTATACTTGAAATAGTTACATCTATAATAAGCTCACAGAAGTATTAGAGGCTTTACGCTGAACAATGGAAAGTCTACCCATGAGAGTTGTAACTAAGTAACTTGAATCAAACAAAGCCGCAACATGGATCTCATAGCCAACTTAATCCGACCTTTCAACTGCAGTACTTTAAGCACGCAAAATGCTTAACTTATGCATTTCGTACGTATTATAAAGTAATGCTATTGATGATTCGATTCTTAAGTCTCATCTCATCTCAGTATGGTGAACAGATAGATCGATCGTACGCAAAATGTGAGCACGTAGTTAAATCGACGAATAACGAATATATCTTTTTTTACACCATCACACAATACATTAAATTATTAATTATAAATACAATAAAAAATTTTATTGGCTTTTCCTTTCGTTAATGTTTGTACGTTTTTGTGTATACCTATGATTTGTCTGTTATTATGTATGTTTTTGGCTAAATCTATCATCTTAGCTTGAGTGGCGGAGAGTTTATTGCCAGTTTTTCTCTTCCGTTCTACGCCCTTGATTTGAGAACTGGCACTAAATGTAAAGTTAGAAGCATTTAATGTATATTTCTTTTTTAACGTTCAAAAGTGTACATTGTGTTACGTACATGAATAAATTTTTTTTTTGAGCTGTTGGATTACGAAATAAATATGATAATTTATTATATGTGCTTTTCAGCACATCGCCGCAGCCATATCCAGTTGATTTAATTAAATGATTATAATCTATTTAAATGTCATGAATGCCATGTATTATCGGGTTCGTATTTCCAATATTTAATATTAAATGTCAAGTGAATATAAGCAATTCGCAGTTATATTTGTAAAATAGGTTTATTTCTAGAGTATGTCGAGAGCACAACAGACTTTTCGTGGAGTCACTGTCGAAGTGAGTCAGCGAGTCGCTCATTCGTGTCTCGAAAATACTTAATGTGACTTAAGGTCTCTGTTATATATACCTTATAGTGCAAAGTATTAATCTATTTATTTATTTCATAACCCTACAGCTAACATAAATAATACGTAACAAAAAACAATTATACTAAAGATGGAATACATAATATATACCAAAAAGGTTCAACAATTTACGAATAGAAAAAAAATATTCAATACATTTTACTAAGTAATACCTAATCGGTTGTGTGGTGTGCTCATGATGGAGGTGATTTAGCGCTATGGATATTCTTAATACCCCTTTTAAGCATATTCCGTGAAAGATATGAAAATCTGTTAGCTGACCTATTTTAAATAAGTAAGAAAAGTAAATTTAATTCAAAGATTTTAACAATAAGAATAATATAATATGTACATATGTTAACAAATCATCGTTTATGTTAAATCATTGTGTTGTAAAATATTACTCATAATTGTTTTAATTTATAGACAGGTGTTCTCTTTTTATAGACTTTAAAGTCAACAACTTTCTACACTAATGATTGTATTTTCTGAAAACTAGGCAAGTCAGTATTAGAACTTGATATACCGAGTATACAACTGCGAATGTATTGAATGCAATAGAAACCAAACTAGAAACACGATCGAGTGAGTCTAATTCCTGTGGGCGTTATAGTTTCTATTTTTAAGCACGAACATAATACAATTTAAGAACCGTTAAATAAGCCAAGTTAGTTGTTTTTTAGCGTCGAACACCCACTACTCCTAATTATATGTATGTTATAAGCTCATGTTTTAAACAATTAAAGCCAGTTGTCACCCAGTTTCGACGTATATTTGTCGAAGGTTAGGGGATTATACACAATAGAAGATAATAAATATTATTTATGATTTGGATGACCAGACGGAAGACCGGATTTGGAGAACCTTCACTCAAATAGTCTTCATTATCTATAGTGACAGCAGCTGACAGAGTAATAAGGACAAAAGTCTATACTTGTTAAATGAGAATTGTAAGCTAATGTCGTTGTATCAGTATATTATTAACTAGCTGTACTCTGTAGTGTTGGCCTAGTGGCTTCAGCGTGCGACTCTCGTCCCTGATAAGTTTGATCCCCGGCAGTGCCCCAATGCACTTTCTTTCTCTCGCTCGTACGGTTAAGGAAAACATCGTGTGGAAACCGGCACGCTGATCACCTACTTGCTTATTAGATTGACAAATGATCATGAAATAGATTTATTTATTCTAAGCAGTGCTCTGCGCTTCCACTTGCATCAATTCGGTCGTAGCATGATGTTCAATAACCTAAAACTTTTCTCGGTAAATAAATAATATTTTTTTGTTAGACATGGTTTCGCGGACTTTTTTGTAGATATTGATGTCTTCTATAAACTGTAGTACATCAGTATTCTCTATTGTCAATAGTTTCCGCAGCGTAGGTACGCGATTTAGGAATTTTTATTATTTTTCCCACAATCATAATTTCATACAAAATCCTAACTTTTTTTTAAATAAACTTTAGCCGATGTTCATAATGGATAACGTAGGGTTAAAATGGTGATATAAGTTTTTTTTAATTTGTCCTGTATTTTTAGAGGCTATTGCTATTGCAAACCAACAATCAAATTATTCCTCTTTATATTTAGTGTAGATTTATAATTATTAATTTTATAATAAGCTACTTACTAAATGCGGACAAATGTATTTTTAATGCAATGATATATTTAGCAAATACAGTGTAATACGCTGTAGAAATTGTGAATTTTCAGGCGTTTTATTATGAAACAAAAAGTTGAGTAATTTCCACGTTTTAGAAAGGGACGTCAAATCTTGTGCGCATACAAGAATTTGCTAGTACAACATCAGATAACAATGCCCAAATAATGTATATACAAATATTTATTGAAACTAAAGTTTTGTTAGACAAATCTACCGCTTAAATATACACGCCTTTGAAGATGTAATCCCAACTTAATTAAACAAGTCAAAGAGATTGCGCAGTGATCTGCTAACACGAATATCAATGTATTATAGATGCAGCCAGATTCAAATGCCACATACAAATAATTGTGTACTCCAGATTCTAACTAATGAAGACGGTAATTTAAATGGAAGATATTTTAAGACACGGGACTGCACAGATCTTATAAATATGATCGAATATTATAATTATGAATTTTAAAACAGATGTTAAGTAAAAAAAAAGGGTGCGTGTCCTTATGTACGCGCGTAAGAAGTTATACTTCTTTGGCTTTCTTTATTTTTTTAAATATTAAATAATTAATATTTAACGTTAATAATATTTTATATTTAGTATATTATTCAATCAATTTAATAACTAGGTATGTTTCATAACCTTTTAACTAAGTAACAATAGGTCTTTGTGAAAAAGCATTGCTAAATTTCTTTGAAAAAAATAATTAAAACTCCTTTATTTGTTTAAAAGGTACTACAAATGTCATTATGGTCATTCAAAATTCTTGCCATAGCTGCTAACGTCACGCATATTCTATTTATTTTTACTTGTAGATTGTCTTATTCCCATCTCGCTCGCGCACGCTATAATCACACTGACAACTTTGTGTCTCAGGTGCGCGCGCATTGTAAAATTTCACTCTCATCAATTTTTCATAACGCGCCTAAAGAAGTATAACTTTAAAAAAGTACTGATTGTCTTTTGTTTGATTAACTGTATGCTTCTGTGGCTGATATATGTTAATGACTTGTCTAAGATAAATTGGTTACCTAACGATGTTTTCATCGCATAAGCAAGTTGCACATAAAAACAATATTTAGTTCAAAATCCAACGCACGATATCACGATGGGGCTCACAAGGCTCCCCGAATTGTTTTATAAGATACTTCCCGTTTGGCAATTACTTTAATATTAAGGACCACTGAATATTTAGATGCATTACTCCAATTCTTCCTAAATGTAACTAATTTCTCCGACCGCCCATAAATAATCGTTACAGATTTATGTTACATAGTAAGTAATGTACCACGTAATAGTTGTAATTTAGTTGCCCACAACACGGAAGGTTCGGAAATACTTCAGTGGGTAGCTGGTTCCACATAGTGGTTGGTGGTCCGTATAATTTTAATTATTTATTGAAGTTAAACTTCTTTAGGTGCATGAAGAAAAGGGACAGAGCGATTGAGAGAGAGTGAGAAGGGCGAATTACCTTATAGAAATTCTATTTTAAAAATTAAAACTTCGTAAAGAGAATTTATGAAATATTAGTATTTTATATTTTATGCAAAATAATTTATTGAAATCTCAAATGACGAATTGTAAATTAAAAGACCACGTGTTTTTATTATCGAAGAAATAAATTAAAATAATAAATTAATAGTTTGTATTAATTTTCGACACTTTTAATATTTTAATGACAATTCCTAACATATCTTCCTTTTTCCCTTCCTCTAAGTCTCGGAAATCTAAAGTTTTAGATTTGTATAAATATGAACAAGACTTAAAAATTAGTTTGCCAAAGAAGTTTCACTTTTGACATGTGTACGCACGTTTTTTTTAATTCTAGGATCACCTTAGATAGACGGATAAACGAAAATACCTTTATATATTAAAACCGTGGTAAGCGTGTCATTTTACGTCAAAATAAAAAAATATCGTCCCATTATTTCTGATAGGTTTTAATCCGTATGCCGTAACCAGGATTTTGTTACACGTTTTCACATTTTATGAGAAATATTTTATTACAGGATTCGTATAATGATGATACATAAAGTTATTGTTGAGTGGATTACGGTTTTACAAGGCTGTTAAATTTTAAGTGTGGATTTTGGTTTTAAGTGTGTTCTTTGCCATAAAAGCCTTTCTGTTACAATTGGTTAAACCAGCAGTTTTGAATTTTATTTATTTAAAAACAAATTGGAGTAGAATTTTATCTTATTTAAAAATAAATAAATCAATGGCGCTACAATCTCTGTAGGTTTGGGCCTCAGATTTCTGTATCTGTTTCATAATCGTCAATCTAATAGGCAAGTAGGTTCTCAGCCTTCTGTGCCTGACGCAGGCCTTCGACTTTTTTGCGTCTATAGCAAGCCGGTTTCTTCACGATGTTTTCCTTCACCGTTCGACCGAATGTTAAATGCGCACATAGACAGAAAATCCATTGGTGCACAGCCGGGGATCGAACCTACGACGATAAACCTATTGAGTTGCGAAGTTTAGATAGTAAAAAGAGAAAAAATGTTAAATATTGTGTACCTTTTCAACGGTGGATGGGAGCGGCCATAAATTTTCAAAAATTTTAAAATTTTCAAAAAATTACTATCAAGATATTTATTGGAATACTGAGGGTAAAATTCAGAACCTTAGCTCGAAATATATTAAAATCGAATTCATGATCACGTACGGAAACCAGACTTATGCAACTCGAACCTTAGAAAATTTGACGCGCTCGATAAAGTTTTTTTCTCATTTTCAACTTATGTACCACCACCATCATGCAAACAATCAAATAACCATACGTACATTATTAAAAATACGTAGGCTTTCAATATCTGACGCTCGAGTATGTCTATGCAAAAGTTGAAAGTGAAAGTGAAAAAAACTGAGAAAAAAACTTTATCGAGCGCGTCAAATTTTCTAAGGGGATGTTAAGTGAACCTAAAAAAAGCTGTCATCTAAGAATCTGACGCAAACTCGCGGCCATTATTAGAATCATCTCGCCATTTTGAAATACTCTAGCGCGTCAAATTAAAATATATATAGTTCATCTTTATGTCCTAGACGTGATGTCTCGTAATCTGACGATTATCTGGATTTTATAAGATTCGAGTTGCATAAGTCTGGTTTCCGTACGTGAACATGAATTCGATTTTAATATATTTCGAGCTAAGGTTCTGAATTTTACCCTCAGTATTCCAATAAATATCTTGATAGTAATAAAAATTGGTATTCAGCCCATTAAGTACTATAATTTGACAGGCATTCAGCTCCATTGCCCTTCATTAATTGGGGCCAACTATTCCAACCCTATTTCCAATTGAGTTGGAACGTTAAGCCTCAGGCATACCTTATATAACCGGAAATATACAGTATTTCCCATTTATTTGAAATTCGAATTTTTTAATTTTGCTTATTATATGGATGGTGTTATGTATTGTCATTTTATAAATTCTATCTCACCTTTAATACTCTAACAACATCTTGAGGAAATTGCATCAAGGCAGTACTTGTAACTCGCCTATAGATTCTATCCACGAAAATCCCCGCCCTGATCGCGTGCGCCACAGATCGGAACTTAGGTTTTTCATCCGACTTTCGCTTCGCCGTCGCCAGCTGCCGTGTGAATGTAGACGCGAGCCACTCTCGCACTTCCGGTGGCACCGCGTCCGGTTGTACCTCAGACAACTCATCGTCTTCATCTGCCAGACGCCTGTCCAAAAGCATAGGTATTAGAATTGTTCCAAATTTAAATTAAATTGTATAAGCTAACTTAAGTGCATAGCACATACGGTTACCTTTCGCAGTAGCGCAAGCTTTAAGAATCCGGAATTTCCGGAAGCAAAGCTGGTTCACAGATTTTCCATTAATTTAAAAATCGAACGTTTCAATAACGAATGCGCTTTGGGTATTTTAATTAAATTTTACCTGAGTCCACACATTTCGGAAACTTGGTCTTTTTATATTAGCGAAGTAATCTTAAATACTGTGCTAAAACAATTTATTTTAAAATCAATTAAATGAAACAATACTTTTGTCGCTGTAAATGTATATTTTAGGTGTAAGAGTGAAATTACAGAACATTTTCTGTATTTTTTATTGATCTTTGTGGTTAAAACTAGTAGATTGGAAGGAAGTAGAAGATGCTAGAACTAAGGGTTACAATTGAGAGACAAATACATGCAGTGACACAAATATACATTGCTTTCCTTGCTACATCTGTAGGTTTAAGATACGATTTATGTTTTTGTTTTTTACCGACTTCAAAAAGGTTATTGATCGACCAGTACCTATGTGATTTTATTGGAAGTGAATAATATATTTAGGCTTCTAAGCATATGTGCTAATCTTCGTGAATTATGTCCACACATTCTAGGGTACTAAAAATATATGTAGATAATTGATTTAGCTCAGAACAGTAATCCCCCTATAACGCGATTGACCCGGACAGCGTTATAGTAAATCGCGTTGTAGGAGTTATCTCGTAAAACCTTTTTTTAAACAATTCAAAAACTAGGACCACGAATTTAATGAAGTTATTTTGTTTAATATAACAACATAGAAGTAGGTGCCAATGTCCGCAAAACTAATTGTGGTCTTGAGAAATCGTTATAAATTACGCTACAGAAATATAACTTGAGAAATATCCGCGTTATATTATACGGCAATCGCGTTATACAAATACGCGTTGAAGCGGGGATTACTGTAGGTATAGCAACTTAATCGTATATAGTGAGAATATTCACATTTGTATATAGAAACATTATAAACAAAATAATTAAAATAAACTACAAGCTCCCACCTTTTCAGAATGCCAAATCATAAAATGACTGCTTCACGACTGATTTGAGAGCGACCGCCGATGTGAAAACCGCTGTGTGAGTTCGAAAAGTGAGTTACAGAATCGCAGGGCAGAAGTTATTAAGTTTATTTGTAATAAACACAATAAAACGTTCAATATTAGTATACGCAAGCAATATTGCACACAAAACCTTGCAACAGAAATCGATTTGAAACAAGAGAGCTTATTATAAACATTAGAAATAGATTCCTTTATAAATGTCGCCCACAATTTATTCTATTTCTAACCAAATGGAATTCTAAAGTTGTCCGAGGATTTTCCGAGACGACAAGCGAACTATATTTATTGCTTGCTTTTATGTGTTATATATTATTCAATATAATAATAGCCTTTTAATCCAGATACTTTTACATTTAAACTAGTTTCTATTTTTTTTTATGATTGGAAAATTCACACCAATTAATTCGTTTAAATTTAGTTTTAATTTTAATTCGTTTTAGTTTAGTTTTTTCTTTTAGGTATCTGTGTGCCCGTTTTTAGCAAAGCCTCCTCCAAATTCTTTCCGCCATGTACCACCTGCTGTTTCTTTAATTTGGTCTTTCCACCTGCTAAGTGATGATTAATATGATTGTACTTCTAAGCCCAAGCTATATAAATAAATCCTGTTATAAACAACCTTGTTTTACTACAAAGCCATAGCTTATACTTAGCTTAAGCTTATTCAACTTACAGTAAGCTTTTTCAGCGCATTTAATGCCTCGATATATTTCCGACAACCCGAAATAACATGGTAATGTTTTACGCAATAAGCTTGTTATGAATAAAGGTTGGTACATAAAAATAAAATTTAATTATTCTACATATATCTCTTTTCATCACAGCGTAAATACAATTTGACAAAAAGAGACGGTCGTATTGAAGTAACAATTTTTAACATGTAGTAAAGGAAAGCAATGTTGATATAAGCGCATAGGGATTGGATTTGGGTTAATTTTTTATTCTATGACCATTTGAAATTGTAATTTTTAGCCTTTTAATTAAATTTTACGACTTTTTAAAATTTCCAATTATAAAACCTCATTCAATAACACATATCTAACTTATAACTTGGTTTCCTGTGTAAGACATATTAAATTATTATAATAATTAATCGCAATTCGTGATACCGTCGTTAATAAAAGATGTCATTTTGTTCTTGATATAATGGAAATGTTTCTTTAAAACTAAATTACGGTAATTTTCTGTGAAACTCCAACAAAAGTTTTAGTTCAAAAGGCATTTGAAGGAAAGGTATAATAAATTCTACACTAGTCCAAACGTTAGATTCAATAGTGAAATTCTGATTCAATTCATAAAACTTCTTTTCAGAGCTTCAAATAGTTCATTAGGCTTTTGGTATTTTTAAATGAAATTTCTCATTCACTAAAAAGATATTCCTATAAGATGAATTTCAAATATCCGATCATATCGGAAGGTATCCGATCATATCGGAAGGTAAATTGCCCGAAAAGGCACTAATTTTAATATGAAACCTGTAAAAATATTGTTGTATAAAATTTTCTTTGAGAATAATCTGTGTGATATTTTGATGCCAATTGCCAATAGGTATTTTAAAATAGAATTTAATTTCAAGTGGTCATAGAGGTGATATGAACAGGTAACATCGACACACCTAAACACCAGGGTCGGCGCCGACTGCTGGCGCGCCACGGCCGGTCTATAATAAAACACCAGGTCAATGGAAACACACAGGATTCAGGGATCAAAGTATTGGTACACAAATTCTTACGAAACGGTACAGTTTTTCAAATGTATGATTTTTAGTAGATTTCTGACACCATTTCATAAAAATAACATGTCTGATCCACTGATTAACAATAACATTAATGACAATGTAACTTTATACACACAATTAACAAATTACAAGTAATTCATATAATTACTGTTATCAAAGTGAAATGTATATAAATTTTTGCTAACAAAAAGTCAAGCGAACGTGACTAACTACCAAAACCCATCATGCCTTACAATCCAGGAGATATACAGGAAAAGTTGGGGCAAAACCAGGCTAAAACAATGAACAAGTCGTGCGTTGTCAAACTGGAGAACTCAACTACCAAGAAACTGAAAGATCATCAGAGGAAAAGGGCACTGACAAAAAACTACCAGGAGAAGAGCAGAGAGCGACTAACAGGAGAGAAGGGTTCAGAGACAGAACTACCAGGGGAACAGGACATTAAGAGAAGTCTACCAGGAGGTACTGAGAAGCGAACAGAACAGAAAGACCTAATCGCAGAGAGTGGACAGAAGGGAGGCTCGACTACTTGGCTTATGCCGGCGTTGGTGTAACGGTATTAACTTTGCTTCGTGTTTCTCTACAGAGCTCGCCCAACACGGCGTGCGAAGCCTCCTCGTTTGTAGGGTTGTCGGCTGTCGAGGCTGGTCCAGTGGCTGTTTCACCCTGTGTTATAGGTCATCACTGGCGGCGCTGTGCGCTCATTATACAACCAGGATGATTGTTTTAAAGACACAAAATTTCCCTCATATACAGTTGCATACCTGACTGAAGATAGTATAACATTATATTTGCATATCAAATTTATATTGTACGGTTTCGTCATCAGGGTGCTTTAAATAATAAAGAATTTAATAGTCAATAATAATGATAGAATAAATGCGAAGTAATTCAATGTTAATTGCTGTGAAACGAATGCTAAATGAATGCAATGTCAGGGTGAAACTACGACGATTTAGGTAATCGCAACGCATATAAAACTATGAAAGCCTGAGTAAGCAAAATGTACAGGCTCGGAAATCTATAATTCATAATTTCTGTAGTACAGTTTGCATTTTGAATGCCTTTAATTAAGAACCACTCCACTACTCAATTAAACAATATATATTCAAAATCTGTTATAACGATAACGAAGGGACTCATATTTAGTCGTAAAAACCGATAGTCGTAACAGCCGATGACGTTGTTATTAAGTACTCAATACACTAGAATTTAGCCGGGACCTTTGATTTTGGTCAATATAACCGGTATGTTGTTCTAAACGGTGTCGTCATAAACGGTTTTGACTGTATATTAATCGTGGAAACCTGACGTCAAGTCGTTTCAATACCTGTTATGTGCGAAACCTCAATATTAAAATTGCAAATTACCACGAGCAAGTTTATTTTTCTGCTATCATCCATAGGAACGAAAATACTATCTTCAATTAGGTAATACAACTTCTCTCTAAATAACATCAATAATATAAATTTAGATATTGGAGAATTGTTGGCCTTTGATGAAAGCTTATGTTCATTAATACATCAAAGAAAATACTGAATTGACCTCATTGGGATTCGGTTCAGAAGAAGATTATTTATTTCATAAATCGTCAGATGTAGCTTCTTTTGTTTACTGACAACAATTAAAGCCTCTATGTAGCTTTAATTTACCTTGTAAAGATAACTTAAATGCCTTTTAATGGATTTTTTTATTAATAATTGTGTTATAAGACTTTAGTAAACACAACCTCCTAATCAACCTAACCTACACAGCTAGACTTTCTACGATTTGTTAATTCAATTCAAATTCAAAAATCATTTATTCACGTAGGTAACACAATGTACACTTGTGATTCGTCATTAAAGAAATACATATTAATGCTTCTAATTTTACATTTACTGCCAGTTCACAAATCAAGGGCGTAGAACGGAAGAGAAGAACTGGCAATAAACTCTCCGCCACTCTTTTTAATCGCCATGTTAGGTCATATCCACTAATTAAATTCAAACTAAATAATTGTCACACAGTAATAATTAAATGTGTTTCTGGCGCATTTAATATATCTTATATTTGCTATGCTGTAATGAATCATGTAATACCGCAATGCTAATACTGCATTACCTTGACTTAGGAGAACGTAAATTTTCTACTATCAAAGGATGATGAGTTTCTAAATGTTTTAAATTTTATTTAATCTCCAACAAATTTGTCTACTAACTTTTTGATCAAGTTGAAAAATTGGGATCGTAACTGGATAAAACTTTCTTTGTGAGATTACGTAAATTGTAAATTCTTTTGCGAAAATATAAATTTATAACTTATTGGATTAAGTACGTTTATTTATAAAGCCGTATAATGATATTTTTTATATTTATTTATTTATTTTTATTTATTAACACTTCGTTGCATGTACATTAAGATAGTACAATTGACATAATTAAATAAAAAGGAGAGCAACTGGCGACCTTATCGCTTTCGAGCGATCTCAACCATTGTGAGAGAAAAAAAAAGTATTAAATTATATAAGGTAGGCAAGAAGTGCAAAAATACATGTATTACAAATAGTTGTTCAGAAAAAGAAACTAAACAGGAACAAAAAACAAACTAAACTAATAAAGGATACATGAAAAATATAATAATAAGATATATTTTAGTAAAGAAAAGTTAATTGGGCTTATACTCCCTAATATGTATTAATACTGATCAAGTACATATTACAATTAATTTAAGAAATAATATGTAATAAAAATAGCATCAATTTAATCAGATAAAAAGGACTAAATCGTACAGAAAATGTGTTACAAACACATGTGTGTGTTAAACTCATCATGGATCAATGTTGATGAAATTTTGTGTGTGTGTGAATTTGAGAATGCTTTATATTATATATATTATATTATATATATGTATAATTAGATGATTTCTGCTGTTTTATTTGAGAATAATTTATATATATTACAAGTTTATGTTTCTTTGTAATTTGAGGTTTTTGTATTTAAGATGTGTGTACCACCATAACATAATGTAATACCCATAACATATTAAACAATTATTTTAAAATGATTAATAATTTGTTGTTCAATTAAGATCCTTACACACGATTTAATATTATTATTATTATTTTCTACTTAGTATTATTTTTTTGCTACTGAGGCGCAAACTAGCTGCTGTGGTCTCTGGCAGAATGACCAGCGCTGTGGAACATTCTGCTCCTCAGCATAATGCTGAGCCAGGGCCAATTATAACCACAGCACACTTGAAGCGAACCGAATGGTAAAAGGGATTTTTTTATTTTTATTTTTATTTTTTATTTTATTTGTTCTTTGAGTATTGTTATTTTGTGTGTGTATGTGTGTGTTTTCGTATGTAATAAATGTTATGGCTATGTCAATTATAACATTCATACCAATAGATACCTTACCAGAAAAGGGAGAGAGCGATTGAGACGATTGAGAGAGAGTGAGAAGGGTGAATTAACTTATAGAAATTCTATTTTTAAAATTGAAATTTCGTAAAGAGAATTTATGATTTTATATTTTATCCAAAATAATTTATTGAAATCTCAAATGACGAGTTATAAATTAAAATGCCACGTGTTTTAATTTATCGAAGAAATAAATAATAAAAAAATATTTGTATTAATTTTCAAAACTTAATATTTTAATCACAATTCTTTAAGTCTCGGAAATCTAAAGTTTCAGATTTGTATAAATTAAATTAATTTAACAAGAGTTAAAAATTTGTTTGCCAAAGAAGTTTCACTTCTGACATGTGTACTTTGTACGGACGCACTTTTTTTTATTGCGTGAGGGGAAAGTCATAAAGAAATATTTTATGAATAAGATTGAAGATTGTGTTTATTAAGTTAAAATACCTAATTGGTAATAAAGTAGTGGATCTTTTTTATAGATAACTAGCTGACCGGGCAAACGTCGTTTTGCCATATTTATCATTTATAATAAAAAAATAGGGGTTGATCGTAGAAAGGGTGAAAGTTAGGAGTTTGTATGTATTTTTTAATGTTGTATCATAAATAATAAAAACAGAAAAAAATATCTAAAAATAAAAATAAAATATTTAGGGGTGGACTACCCTTAACATTTAGGGGGATGAAAAATGGATGTTTTCCGATTCTCAGACATACACAATAAGCACACAAAATTTCATGAGAATCAGTCAAGCCGTTTCGGAGGAGTATGGCAACGAAAACTGTGACACGAGAATTTTATATATTAGATATGTGTGAAAACAGTCTTTGGTTATATATAACTCCTGAGAGTCAGAATTTAAAGTTTTCTAATTAAATGAAATTATGTTCAAATATATCACTAATTCCAAATAAATCAACGTTATATTTTTAAGGGATTGGGTTTTGATTTAAAAAACAATTTTAAATTTAAATGCTTCAGCGTTGAGTGCTCAATCAATAAAGATGTCTTAAACTAAGTATGCTATCTTATTTAACATAAAATGATGATTAAGTAAGCAGATATATTATAATTATATAACATATAGTGAAATATGAAGAGGATTATCGAACATATCATAACTACAAAATCGAAAATCAGCTATTTCAAGTGAATGATAATCACCTGATGTTATGTTTTACCGCCGCCCACGGACACTCACATTACTAGAACGCTCGCAAGTGCGTTGCCGGCCTTTGAAATTTTTAAACAACTTTTTTGAAGGACCCTAAGTCGAATGGGTTCGGATATACTTCAGTGGGTTGCTGGTTCTACGTAGAGGTGGTGGGCGGCAAAAACTGCCTTAAGAAACGCTCAGTTGTGGAACGACGGAGGTCGAGGTGATACGGATGGTTTTTGTGTTCTGCCTGACATCCGATGAAAAAAAAAATTCTATTAAGCAAATTAAGTGGGTTTATGGCTTATTTACACAGCGAACGATAGAACAATTACAATACCAAAACACCCTAATAAATTTACTACAGAATAATTATTTCCAATTAAAACCACTCATGTTCGAAGCCTTTACTACCTTCAACTGCTAATTAGAGAAACTTGATAACAACAGATTAATTAACTATTTGTAATACAATACCAATCACCTACGGTTCTTGTTAACATTAGGTGTCAATATATAAGCGAGTAAGTATATAAAATGTTTAAAGTAAATAGAATAAATGTTTATTTATTTTATGATATATAATCTACTCATAATAGCTCTAAAAATACACTGGGAAGCTTCACTCAGTCTATCCAAACCTGTCACAAATGTGTCTTGCTGTGTTGAGGAAGGCACCTTATCGCCCGCAATCGTAAATTTATTAAATGTTTCTAGTGTATGTTTGTTGTACCCCGCCCGTGGACACTTCCAGAAGGTTTGCATGTGCGTTTCTGGCTTTTAAAAATTTGTTATCCCTTATTTGATATGTATATTTATTTAGAATATGAGTTTAAAGCTTTTATTATAAAATAAGCAGAGCTTTTACGAAAGCTTTCACATGAAATAATGATTAATCCGGAGCTCGTAAAAGATTTACCTCCAAGCTCTTTAGGAGGGTTCTAAAAGCAGCCATTTCAAGTTAATGAAACCAAATTTCTTGTCCTCACCTTCATTACCTTTCAAGTGACCAGCTTAAGAGTTTCCTATTTCATTTAATCTTTATAAGATATGTGCAATGTCAAATAAGCTTTTTATTTTTTCGATTTAATTCTGATAAAATTAATGAGTGACTAATATATCATTTAATAGTATATATCTTGATGTAATTTAGTTTGTTTAGTTATTAAAAAATAAATCTATAGTATTTACAATTCTTAACCTATATAATAATAATTAAAATATATATTTATTTGTAATTAAAAATTAATAAATAGCAAAAAAAACAAATTAAAAAGTTTTGTCCCTGTGGCAGTGTACCTATAACGCTGGCAGCATTTCCTCGCTGTATATACTTATTGAGTTGAGCGTTTATTAAAATATGTTAGGCATTTTATTTAATACCAAAATAAAATTTTAGTTATATATATAGAAGTTATTTTTCCTATTTTAGTTTTCCATAATAAAAGAATAGTAAAAAAACAAAATAAAAACGTTAAAATTATAATATTTAAAGTATACATATAACCTCAACATTTTTACAGTAAAATCTATTATAGACGAGTAGCAAAGTTTACAGAAAAAGCACAGAGAAATTATATTTTCAATTTTCATATATCTAGTACTGCGCCTTGCCGCCATGAAGAGCGTTAAATTAACAATTACAACAAATCAAATGATGCACTACGGACTTTGCGTCTATAAGTCTTTCGTTATCATACTAAACCGTAAAATAAATCAACAAAAGGACTCTAGAATAAAAATTGCCTATGAATACTGCGTTAATGGTTTATTAACACTGTGTAAGAAAAATGAGGATAATTTTTTTCATATTTCCCATTTAAACTTTCATCAAAAGGCAATCATTAACAATGCTCCAATATTGAGAAAGAAAGTTTATTTTATACAATTTTTTCTCCGTCGAATCTGAAACATAGAAATCGTAAAATGTTCGTTTTTTAAAATTTTCCGGAAATGGTTTCCGTGTTAACTGAATAAATCCCCTTATTCATCCTATAAGCCTTATATTAAAGTAACGCTTCACATTTAACAGTGGAACGGTGGAAACTTTGTGACATAAAATTCAAATTATTTAAAACTTATAGGGTTTTACGGGGATATTAAATGATACCAAACGTGTGCAAAGAGATATTGTGTATGGAAATCACCATATCTCTTTTCTCTCACTAATTCCATTAAAAAAACATTTCGTTGTCTATTATTCGAAATTTAAAATAACACAGAGTTCGGCTGCCAACAATTTATGCCATATTGAGCTTTACAAATTTCTTAGTTGCATAAATATATCTTAATACTTACTTGGTTTCATCTATGTATACTGCTTCTAACACTTTAGCGGCATACTGAATGTTCTTTTGTAGAGTTTCAACGGGTATTTCACCTCTATTTATTTGTCTTAGGAGATAACGTAATCTGTGGACAAAAAAACCATAGGTAAAAAATAAATTCCGCAATGTATTTAAACAGTGTTAGCCTAGTCTGGAAATGTGGAGCTGGAGGAGAATGCTTGGGGTATCGTGGACCGAGTTTCTTACAAACGTCTCGATACTTCAAGAACTCGGTATTAAACAGCATCTGTTTTCAACAGTACAATCTCGCATCGTTACATTCTTCGGACACGTATCTCGGCGGTGGTGATCAGTCCATAGAACGCCTTGTCGTCCAGGGGAAGGTGGAAGGCACTAGACCGCGCGGACCTACGCGTTGGACTGACCAAATCAAGTCTGCCGTAGGAGATTCACCCAATCAGTGCAGCAGGATGACCTCTAATAGGCAACGATGGTGAAACGTCGTGAAGCGCATCACATCTGCTCCTTCTACTACCACTACTTCATAGCGATCAAGACCGCTCTGTCAAGAGTGTACCGGATAGGAAGAAGCCTAATGCGTGAATCTTACCCTTAATTACGTTCGATTCTTGAGAACAATATTTTATACTATATGCGCCATTTTGAAGGAAAATATCTGATCTCTTCATACCATAAAGTTCACAAATAATTAAGTTAATTGTCTAATACTAGGGTAATGATCATTACCAGTTATCAGTCAGCACCGTGTTGTTTTTCATTTTGACAAGGTTTCTAAACATCAGCCTTAAAGGCAGCAAGCAAATGATATAGTATACCTTCTTGTTTATTTTAAAGGGGGTGACATCTCTCTAGATATTACTGTTCTATATTGCTGTGACACTATGATCGTGAGTCCGCGATACCGCACTTGCACTTATATTGACAACACTAGTTTTAGTAACTCAAAAAGCTTAGTTCTCTTTAGGTATATTGTTCCTATTGTATGAAAAAGTTGGATGTCATGTGATGGAAGAGGTAATCATCTTCAAGAAGTCAGGTTTATGTACTACTGTGAGAGTACTTACTAATCATTTTTAAATTACGATGTAATAGCTAATATCGTTAGTTTTATTTTGAAAAATTAATAAAGTTAACTGTAACCCGTAAATAAACTGAACGGATATTAAAAGGGAATGAGTGTTTCCGTTTCAGATCCAGTTCAATGAGTCGATATATTTATATTGTTTTAATTAGTATATTGTAATTAAAAATAAAATAAATCAGTGGCTCTACATCCTTTTAGGTCTGTTCCTCAGATTTCTGTATCTGTTTCATTATCATTTGTTAATCTAAGGCAAGGCGGTTTCTTCACGATGTTTTTCTTCACCGTTCGAGCGAATGTTAAATGCGCACATAGAAAGCCAATTGGTGCACAGACGGGGATCGAACCTACGACCTCTGGGATGAGAGTCGCACGCTGAAGCAACTAGGCCAACACTGCTGATATTGTATATAATTTAAGGATTTGATACGATGTTTTAACCGCATAAATATAGGGTAACGCACGTAATAGGCATAGCACTTAAATAAATATAGAGTTTTCATTAAAAATACTGTATAAAGCAAAAATATAATCTTAAGACCATTATACAAAGTAGGTACAAAGTGGAGCTTTTATAATTTGTTTTTACAATCATTACGCTCGTTACTTTAAGCGCTTCAAGCACTTGAAATAATTTGTGAATCATTTGTTTCCATGTTGAAACGGAGAGAAGTAATTGAGCTCAAATTAAATGAAAATAACCGTTCCAAAACGGAGTTGTTTTCGTTATGACCATCTGTATTGTTCTTTGCTTTGGTTTGACAAATATTTAGATCATTTTAGCCGCTATTGTTCTAGCGAATGTTTTGTTTTTAAGTAATATTGTTCTGGAATATACTCGTATTTGTTTGAATGTTTGCTTATTTGTAGAACATTGCTATTCTAGCACTTTTTACTGTGCTAGAATAGCAAGACTGGGGCTTGTTATTTTGAAAAACTAATCACATTACTTGATATGAATCAATAGTAACTTTTAAATTACATTCCAAACCGTTCTGGAGTTCATAGGGATTATTCATTATACTTTAATTTTAACGAACAAGACATCACAGGCAATACTCTAGTTGGAATGAGTTATTTGATTCAAAAAAATTTGCTGGACACAGTCGCATGATCGCTAGAAAGATTAACACAGTACAGTAATATTAACATTTTCATTTACAAGCGACCAAAAAATCTCATTTAAGGCCCTATCCCAGCATAAATTGCTGTGTCAGTGTCTCGGGGTGGACTGCTGGGCGCAGTGGAGAGCTGGAGCACTGAGGCGCGCCGGCCCGTAATAACAATTAGTTATGTAAAACATTAAATTAATGTAATTTTATCAATTTTTTTTCTGAAATGGATTACTTGGCTTATGATAAAATATATCGTGTAAATTTCAAAATCATGTTCCATATACATTTTCGTCATAAAATGAGTTCAAAGTGTCAAAAAATGTTTGGATTTCTTTTCTATCAAGCGAAGTTATTTAAATCGTGTATCGATATTTTAAAATGGATACATAAACTACTCAACTCAACCATATATTTTATCTATTCTACCTACTTAAAGAAACGATGACGAAAAATGGAAAGAAACAATGTTCTTTTTTGTAGTTTGGCGACCAGATCGGTCCTTAAAATAGATATCTAGATTTGCCATGACATAGTCTATCGCTATTATAGGTAGTGAACATTTTTTTACCTAAGAGCGGCTTTATCGCATGCATCGGGCGTGTCGACGGCGGGCAAGTGTTCAGTGTCCAGGTCAAGTTGGTCCAACTGCTCGTCGGTGGGAGGAGAGGACTCTGGCTTGGACTTGCTTGACGATCTACGGACTATCGTCAGCGCGCCTTGTTCTGTCAAAAAAGAGTTTTTATTATGTAGCATTAATATTAACTAGCTGACACAACGAACTTCGTACCGCCCAAGAGTCACAAAAAAAATTTATTACACATAATAAAAAAGATGTATAGTTACTTACACTTACAATTTTAAAATTATACTACTGAAAGTAATAGGTTAGGTTGTAGGACTCATTTTCCGCAATTAGACTCCTGATTGGTCCGTTGTGCGTCAGACAGTTATTATTGAAAGTAATATAATTAATACAAAATAAATATATGGTTCACTATTTTTAAAGATCCTGAAATATTTCACAACCAATATCACAGTCAATTGTTTTAATACTGATATTATTTTTCATTATGTATATGCTAGTATCCGAATATTGTGGATATATTATGTTGATTCGAAACCTTTATTCAAATAAGTTCTTTAATTTGAGGGGAGAATTTACCGTATCGACGGGATGAACATTTAATGTTTGACAATTACGAAACCCATGAATATTTTGTGTGGGTTATATTTTTCTTTCATTTTATTTCTTCGTTATTTTTCCAATGTATGACATTCTGTTATTCGAGAGGGTGTCTACCATGCAGCAGTCCAGCTGTTTTTGAGTTATAAGTGTTCGAACAAACCCGACTTTGTTCTATATATTACACTAAAATTACATTTATTGGACATAAAAACAAGATCGTGTTAATAGCGTCTTAATTCAACAGTAATAAGTAAATTAATTAAAAATTGGTTTTTTTAATATATATTTTTTTACTTTGAAAAGTGTACTCGTAGCGTATTTATATAACTCGTAGCGGGAGCTACGAGTAGCTACAACATACAATTACATTTTTGGGCCTTCGCTACGAAATGCATTATTTGTTTACAAAAGCTTGCCAACGCTTGGCACACTGATACATTGATACAAGAAAAATAAAACAATTATATAATTTATATAAAAACTAAACGAAAATCGATTTTAAAGTGTGAAGGGAGCAACTATAGATCCCAGCTAGTTTAACAGAATGCTCAATCTGGACATCGGTGAGTTTTTGCCAAAACGCGTTTTCCAGAAAGCAGGGAAAAATTGATTGATGGGGTGGGGTGCCTGGGATATCTACTGGGTACAATTAAATTAAATTGTTAAAAGATAAGGGCAATCAAGTATCTTAATTGCAAACGATACATCAATTAATTTTCTGCATTTCTACAAGGACAACATCTTAAAGTGCCGAGGTGCCACTAGAGAAAAGCAGATGCGGCATTAATCTTTTTTGTAAACCCTCCAATCGTAACATATGCGTCGCATAATGCGGCCTCCATACAACTGTACCATACTTATCTTTATACTGGTAATATTTCTAAGATATTAAGGACAGTAGGAGGTAATACAAGTGCTATTTTATGATGAATATTATTCGGAGCCTTTAACAGTAAAATACTTGCGTAATCGTATTAATGCAGCAAATAAAATATTAAGTGGATTATTAAAAGTTGTACGAGAAACTTACAAATAATTTAAAAACAAAATTTATTTAAATACAAGAGAAAATGTAAGTTATAAATCTAGCCGTCTAGTGCAGGGCGGTGAACGATAAAATTGTTTTTAGATTATCCTGTCCGGGACACAGAGCAAAAAAAATTTTGACTTAAAATTTGAATTAAAATTTGGATTTTTCTAAATTGGAATTGTTGTCTGTGAGAAAAGAAAGTATAGTGAGGAAACAGATACACCTTCAAACCAAACGTCAATTTCGTGTGTTAAGTACTTACTTACTTTTATAGATTACTAGCTGACCCGTCAAACGTCGTTTGGCCATGTATATTATTTTCTAGGAAACATTTTTTTAGTTCAATAAAAATAAATATCTTCTATAATAAAAACTAGGGGTTGATCGTAGAGGGGTGGTAATTAGGGGTTGTATGTATTTTTGTATGCTGTATCCGAAAATAATAAAAACAAAAACAATTGTCTAAAAAAGAAAAAAATATTTTTGGAGAGGACATCCCTTATCACTTAGGGGTTTGAAAAATCGGTCGAGCCGATTCGGAAGAGTATGGGAACGAACATTGTGACAGAATTTTATATATATAGAGACTAGTGGACCCCACAGACGTTGTCCTGCATGATATTTAAAGCGATTAGGATATTAAGCAAAGTATAAAAGTACCGACTGCAGTGCCATCTGCCGGGCTGATTTGTGAATCTAAACCATTCCCAGATCCCCTTGAACACACACAAAAAATTTCATCAAAATCGGTCCAGTCGTTTGAGAGAAGTTCAGTGACATACACACTCACAGAAGAATTATATATATAAAGATGATAAAAAAGAAAAAGCCTTTCAAAGCTTCCAAAGCCATAGAGTATACTATTTTGTAAATTACATTTATATCTATAATTTAAATTCGACAAACGCTTTTTTAGTCTGTGGTGATGTTGATTCCGGCTCGTTGCCATGGTAGCAAGTTAAGGGGCCAGTACAATTTAGCCGCAGGCTTTAGTACTAATGGTTGGCTTATAATTATATAAATTGTTGCAGTTTTGTTGCGTTGCTTTGCAAATCCCATTGTAATAGGTCGTATTTTAATAAACTTAATTTTTTTATAGATAATCGCATACAATGATAGCATAAAGATATTTATAATTTATAATGCAATTAGTATATAGTATCATTTGAAGGTATACTTTAGTACAAGATTTTCATGTTACTTGCGATATTAATTAATATTTATTTTCTAAAGTTACTCTTGGAGTCTATATTTTAATTCCTATCTCACATCTCAATCTCATCTTGACCGGTGTCAACTTAATAAAGAAAAAAATGGTTCGACTTAAAATGAAGGAAAATATTTAAGTTGGTTTGACTTTCTAGAACGGTCTATAAGTGAAATGTCGTTCAAAAGATTTAACAGGCGCCTAATTTATAGTATTTCACACCAATTGTTTTTTAATTTTAATACTTACTCGTGAAGGAAAATCGCCAGGAACACGACATGTTTGTGTCAAAAAATTACATGCTATTCATTCTGTTTTTAGAGCACTGTTGGCCTAGTGGCTTCAGCGCGCAACTCTAATCCCTGAGGTCGTAGGTTCGATCCCCGAAACCGGCTTGCCTTAGACCCAAAAAGCCGACGGCGTGTGTCAAGCACAGGAGGCTCATCACCAACTTGTCTATTAGATTACAGATACATAAACCTAAGGCCCAGACTTAAAAGGTTGTAGCGCCACTGATTTTTTTAATTTAATTCTGTTTTTATTTTAATTTTTTATACGCAAACAAAACGAAGTTATTCCCAATTCTTCTTATATTATAGTTTACCATTATAATTCAGCGCTTTTGTTCCCCAGTTATGAAACAATGTGCCCTTTAGGGAAAGTAATTACTAAAACAAGTGGTCTCTTTGTATGCCCCGGACCACTATAACAAATGACTGAAAATTGTTTGCACAACCGCCTCTGTCATTTTCACAAACGAACCGTGAATATTTAATTAATTTTTAATTATTTAGCTGTTGAATGATTATTACTGATGAACTGTAGGTTAATTAATGGATGATATTTAAACTACACTTAATTTTAATAATATAATGCGGAAGATGTTTTTGGTTGAATGTTTTTTTGAACAAATTTTAGCCCACACAGCCAGGATCTCCGTGGACACACACTAAAAGCGTTGTTTCCGGGAAAATCATAAGCTGCTGTCCCAAGTAAAGTCGGAAACAGTGTGTTTCAGTAAGTTAACAGTAAGAAGTAAGATGTCCCGACTTAACCCCATCTGACTTTTTTATGGGGTTATCTCAAAGCAAATTTATCTCCTCTTACGACTAAAATAACGACAGGAGTGAGCCATATCAGTTGACGTCCTGCAGCGTGTTTCTGTAAATTCGCTAGTGCGCTTTGAAGAGTGCAATCACCGTGATGGAAGACATCTTGACGGTGTAATATTTCGTACTAATACATTATAATTTACTAGAATTATAATATTACAAATACAATTTGTTTTTTATAAATATTTAAGTTTAAAATCGGCGCTGACACACCCTTACTTACGAATAAAAAGAAAGATTTGTTAAATGTTTGTAATGAATTAACTCAAAAACTGGTCTGAGTTTTTTAAAATTCTTTCACAATTAAGGTGCTACGGTATATGTCTAGCAAGAAAAGCTAGATTTATTTCCAAATTATTAAAAGAGAAAAGCCGGGAGAGGATTGCTTTTTTATAAATATAAGATATATTAATTATGTATTACAATAATTTAATATAAAACAAGATCTTACATCTCTACAAGAAGTGCATAATTAACAAAAAATAACACGTAACACTAACTATAACTAAAATAACGTAATATCTAAAAAATAATTGATGTATCGTTTGCCATTAAGATACTACTTCGTGTACCCAGTAGATATCCCAGACATCCCATCATTCCATTTATCCCTCCTTTCCGGAGAACGCGTTTTGGCTGAAATTCACCGATGTCCACATTGAGCATTCTGTTAAACGAGCTGGATCTGGACATCCATAGTTGCTCACCTCACACTTTGAGAGCGATTTTCTTTTATTATTTAAATCTTATTATTGTTTTGCTAAATTAATTTTATTACTTCTTGTATGCTTTGTTTGCCTGTAAGTTCTTGACACATTAAAAATTGTATTTTATTTTTCTTTTATCAATGTATCAGTGCGCCAAGCGTTGGCTTTTATATATAAATAAATAAACAAAAATGTAAAAACTTATCTATTGTATAAATTAAATAAAAGTTCAAATATTAATAAATTAATTCAATAATTCAAGACAAAGCAATAAAAACATTTCCAACTAAAACTCAAATAAATCTATTGTCTTTTTCGTAACTTCAAATTACACTTCCTGGTCAACGAATTCCCGAAGGAACCAAAATCATTTATCTTAACAACAAACACGTCCGGTCAAAGTTCGTTTCAAATATGACCGAAACTTATTTATTTATTTGTTAACACTTCGTTGCAGAAACATAATAGTTCGTCATAAACGTGGATTGGTGACGGATCTGACAAATAGTAAACTTTTCAGGGCAGCCATTTCAAAATAATATCGTCATGTTAGTTTTTGTTAATTCATATTCTGTTATTATGAAAATTGACATACAAGCAAACAAAAGGGTTTGTTTTGAAACAAAACAAAAATAATAACATTAAAATACACAGTTTTTCGACTGAATGATTTGAAATTTAAATAACATGGATTTTTTTAATGTAGCCTTAATATTTAGTCAATCCAAATATGATAAAAAATGGATTTTGGATTTTTTTCAAATCCGACATTGTTCTACGATTATGACGTATTCACATAATTTAATGAAAAGGAGGGCAACTGGCGGCCTTATCGCTTTCGAGCGATCTCTTCCAAGCAACCACTATATTATGGTAATTGTTAGTCCAGTGGTAATGGGCGAGATTTTTGATAGATCTCTCGCGTTCCAAGCCTGGTTTTGTACTAATAATAATTTTCTTTTACCTTTTAATTTAGACCCCACGCGTTGATTTAAAGCTTTTTCCTACAAACAATACCTCGTCCATATTAATCATAACAGTTTAGGCGTAACTTACTTAGATCTATTTTTTTCAGGTAAACAGTGTTAAATTAATTAAGAGTTTGTAAAGAATTTTATCTTAGAAAAATTTAATTCTTAAAAAACACTGTCAACCCAATTTATCTCGCAATTAAGGAAAATCTTAAGCCCGACTTCGAGAAAAATTAATTAACTAAGGAAAACGACTTCAGATTTTAAATAATTAACATCTTCTATTGTTGCTAAGCTGTAATTAGGATTATTTTTCTTTGATAAAATTAAAAATAATAATTATTTTTATTAAATTTATTATTATAGCTTTAGCAAATCATTTAGGTAAGTTAAACACACAGTTTTGTATTAAATCTATGAACTATGAGGGTGTGCAATTGATTGTACCGTCAAAGATCGATTAAAATGCCGGCAACGTACTTGCGAGCCCTGGCAATGTGATAGTCTATGAACGGCGGTATCACTTAACATCAGAGCCTCCTGCCCATTTGCCCCTGTTATAAAAAATTGTAATATTACTGTTAAGGGCATTTATAATTTTGCTTTCTCTCTCTTTAATTGGCAGCTCATGTCTGAGCTTCGTGGTCAGCAACCTTTGACATTAAATGTCATTTTAATTGTATCATTTCAGGCACTACTTACATTAGTAAACATTTCATACTTAATTAAAAATATAGAACAATTCATAACAAATTTCAAAAGCATGCTTCAATTCAGTTAACGTAAAATAAATCGAAACGTGCACGAAATACAGTGGCTAGAGCAAACAAAAAGTGCAATTACCAAACAAAACTATATTAATTTAATTAATCGAAAGTTTAAACATGCATAGGGTTGTCACTTATAATACCACAAGAGCTTCAAAATTATCGGGTATTTCCCGATAGGTTCGTTGCAAACAAATGAAGGAGTCAAGACTTTATTTGTTTGCAGGGAACCTTGAGGGAAATGCCAGATAATTTTGAAGCTCGTGTGGTATTCGGGGGATTATTTTTCCGACCCAAATGTCGGCCAATAGAATTGCACCATGAGACGAAATGTACAGTTAACAAATAAGAATTTCATAATGAATAAAACAACTACTTAATACTTTTCTTGAAGCAACTACCAGAGAAAATTTTCAAAAAATTATCAGTATAATACCATGTAGGTTGTACCACGTGACGTCGAATGGTGCAATTCTATTGGTCGATATTTGGGTCGGAAAAATAATCACATTTAAATTTATATACACAATTTCTAGTAATCTTTTATCATTGAAAACTTATATTGAGTAGATTACTGTTTAGAAATTGGTAACTACTTTTTGACGTGTATATTAACTACTGAATAAGTTATTAATGAATACATATTCAAGCTGTCCTGCGGTCACAAAGTAATGAGCAAAATTACAGCCCCGCGGTCAACTGTCATGTCAACGTCAAATGCTAGATGAAATGACATTAGAGCTACATTGCCACAGAGCACAGATTATATACATTTGATCCTTTTTGAAACAAGGAATATTGTAATGTATATATTTTTTTACTCGCAGATGTATGTCATATTTTGTAAATGGTTTCGATTTTTTTATAAATGACAACCCTAGAGGCATTGAGGCAGCTACCGCTTCGTAATTGTTATTTTACATTTAAATTAATTGGGTAAGTTAGTTTGATTTTGTTTTGATAATATTTTCGATAACTTTATTTATAGTTACATCTATAAATTTATTTCAAGTGAGTTAAAAATACTCTCAAAGTACGACTGAAAAGTTTTAATTGATAAGTGACATGCGTTATTTGTCGAATTCTGCTTATTTTGATTGAATAATAAAATTTCTTTATTACTTCACTGGACAGCAATTAGTCGACAACGCGTTTTCCAGCAAACGCAGGAACGTAGGATATCCTACTGCTTTACGACTGATTTGAGCGCGACCGCCACTGTGAAAACCGCTGTGTGAGTTCGAAAAGTGAGTTAAAGAATCGCAAGGCTGATTACAAAATACTACTGATTTTTTATATTCAAAATAATCATTAAAAGACCTAGTAGTTGCCTCATTACCGTTAAAACTACTGAAACTACTAACACCGAATTTGAGGACCACACTTTGTAGTCGTTTCTCGTGACCGATGTGCAATAGCCACCGTAATGTGCTTACTGGGAGAGGTTCCGTTGCGAGGCGGGGGGGGCGGCTGCGGGCGAGGGGAATCCTCACGGGGTGCGCCCGCGCCGCCCGGGGGACTCGCCACTGTAAAATTAATAATTTTGTTTAATATCTATTACTGTCCACTGGGTTTGTTACCACAATCCTATTGAAGTAGATATCGTGAGGAAATATCTGCTTCGTGTCAGGATCTGTACTGTTATAAGAAATAGTTAGTCTTTTTGTTAATATTTTAATAAATTATTGTTTGATGTTTTGACTTTTTTTTGTTTTGTATGTGATATAAATGTAATGAGTTGCCTTGGAGAAATCTGTAATGGTAGCTTATTTTGTTAAAAAAAAAAGAAGAAAGAACGCAAGTAATCGACCGCGGCACGCGCGTATCGGTCCCCGCATTTAATTAGTATTGTTTTAAATTCAATCTATTGCCAGTAAACTTAGTTCAAGTAACTCGTAAATAATATATTGGGAATAAAAATAGATACATAATAGGATGTTTCAAAGAATTGCAGCATCATGATTTCTATTTAAGCCTTCGCTGCGCACTGATAAATTAAAATTAAATCCAGGTAAACAGCATGGCTGCTTTATCATAAACAATGAATAATATAATCTAAATCATGGTATATGACTGTTGCTAAAGGTTTTTTTATGTAATAGGAGGCCTCCTTGTTTTGCTACCTGATGTTAAGCCCATGGATACTCATTGACAGAAGGCTCGCAAGTGCCGGCCTTTTAAGAACTGGTACGCTCTTTTCTTTAATGACTCTAAGTCGAATTGGTTCGGAAATACTTCAGTGGGCAGCTGGTTCCACACAGTGGTAGTGCGTGGCAAAAACTGCCTTAAGAAACGCTCAGTTGTGGAACGACGCACGTCGAGGTGATACGGATGCTATTTTGTATTCCGCCTGGACGTCCGATAATGAAACTCAGCTACAGGTATTAGGCGAAGAACTCTGAACACTCTCCATAGTAAATGCGGGAGAAGATATTTTTTTACAGAACAGGGGGAAAACGTGCAGGAGGCACACCTGATGTTAAGTGATACCGTCGCCCATGGACACTCTCAATGATAGAGGGCTCGCGATTGCGTTGCCGGCCTTTTAAGAATTGATACGCTCTTTCCTTGAAGGACCCTAAGTCGAATTGGTTCGGAAATACTTCAATGGGCAGCTGGTTCCACAAAGTGGTGGTGCGTGGCAAAAACTGATTATGATGCAGGGAGACCCCACATCTCTTCGCAACGCCAAGGGATCAAGCCGCACTTATGACTGGTCCTTGACGATTCGAATCGCTTTTCGTTAAATACGAAGCTATTTTATAACTGACCGGGTTGTCCGTTTCTTAACCGTGATAGTAAATAGTTCTCCTACTTACGAAGAACAGAGCTGGACTTGTGTTACAGGTCGGGTCTCGGTAACTCACTTCTATGTGTCATCTCAAAAAATATGGTATTTCAATTCTGCAACACTCCATAAAATTCATCTCGATCACATTAGCTTTCAGACACAGAGCTTTTAGCACGCCAATCGCAAAATGCCACTAAAAATGATTTCAATAATACCCTATTGAATTTATTGTATTTCGTTTCTAAATGAAAAGGTCAAGTGATTTCGTACGTACTTGTCACCGTTGTAAATGGGAGCAAATTGCTGAATATCTGAGTTTCATGTGATCCTCGTTAAATGAAAACGCAATGAATTTTCATGTGAATGAATTGTCATCAATTTTTTAATTAATTTAAACATCAAAGTCGTCGATTTAAAATGTGGCATATTAAATTATTATATTGTGTAAATGTTAAATTTTTATTTTTTAGACAATTTTTTTTCGTTTTTATTTTTTTATGATACAGCATACAAAAATACATACAACCCTTAATTTTCACCCCTTTACGATCAACCCCTATTTTTTATTTGTTAAGAAGTAGAAGTTCGCGGGGGCAGCTAGGAATTATAAAACAATATCTCTCTCTTCGATGTACTTTGTTGGCTGACTTCAGAAAAATGTCTACGAAATAACATACTCATATCATTAATGCTCTTGTGCTTATTTACTTATTTATTTATTGAAATATACCACATCATACATAATACTATATCTACGGTACATGTTACAAGCATATTATCTAAGATTTATGAAAATTTTGGTAAACATAATTGTTACTAAAAATAAAATACTAGTCATTTTGCCTCAGCAGCAAAACAGTGGATTAGGTATGAGACAGGCACTTAACAATGCTTTCTCTAAAACCGATCAGCCCACTACCGAATATATCCAGCTCCGGATAAGTACTGTTTAATCCGTTATAATCACGAAAAATTCGAAAGATATGTGCCAGAACTATATGGCCTTTATTGCATAATTTTATTTGCAAAAACATTTCACCAAATCTACACAACTCACATTAGTATTAAAGCCTAATTTTTCACCTAAAGCCTGTTCTTGTCTATATAAAATGTTATCTATCGAGTCGTGAGGAAATAGCACTAACGAGAGAAGCCAACGAACCGTTACTTGACAAGCATAACAATATAATGATCCATTCTTGATATTTGTCAGCAATTATTAGCGAGATTCTAAAGAGAAATTATTAACGAATATTGAAATCTCCTTTGTATATTTAATTTGCTATGAATTAACTACGTTACTATGATTTATATATATTTTTGAATCTAAAATAATTATTAGGGTTATAACTAATTTCAGTTTATACAGATTTTATGTAGTTTTCGAATCTAATTAATATATTTTGTGAAAGCTCCACAATTATACATATTTCAGTTAAATTATTATTTTACATTTTTGTATAATATGGGCAAACGGGCAAGACGCTCACCTGATGTTAAGTAATAGTCCATGGACATTTACACAGGCAGAAGACTCAGAAGTGTGATGCCAACCTTTTTCGAGCTTTTACGCTCTTTTCTTAAATGACCCTAAGGCGAATTGGTTCGGAAATATACTGCGTTTATACTTGTACAGTTACTATGTTTATTCCGTAATACGTAAACATTTATTATATATAACAAAGTATACTAAACATATAGCCAAATATGGAATGCATAATACAAAAAGGTTCAGACATTTACAAAAAGACAAAAACAATAATAGATATTAAATACATTTAACTTAGTAATACATACTCCGGTTGTGTTGTGTGATGGTGTGAAAGTGACTGTATGTATGCAATATATACCCGCATCGATCTGTATCTTCGTGTAACTCCACCGTTGTATATCATAAATTCTCAAGAGATAAAGCATCAGTTAACAAAAGAATAAAATAGAAACGTGAGGTGTGATCTTCAGGGAGTATATTCAAGTTAATGCGGCTGCAACGTGATTGCTACGCTACAGTAAAAACGCTAGTAAACCCCGTTGGCAGGGCTACAAGGGTGATGTTTAAGCGTTTTTTAAGATTTATAAGTACAGCGCTAGCGACATTTATTTATCGCCACACGAAAAGCAAGATTAACACTTCAATAAGACTAGAGGATTCCGAAACATCAAAACAAAAATTATATAATAGAACAGCAAATTAATAATGTTCAGAGGAGTTGCTCGGATTAATACCTGCAGCTGAGTTTCATCATCGGACGTCGAGGCAGAATACGTAATTCCACCCGTATCATCTCGACGTCCGTCGTTCCACAACTGGCAGTTTTTCAAGGCAATTTTTGCCGCGCACCACCACTATGTGGAACCAGCTGCCCACTGAAGTATTTCCGAACCAATTCGACTTAGGGTCTTTCAAGAAAAGAGCGTGCCAATTCTTAAAAGGCCGGCAACGCACTCGCGAGCCCTCTGGCATTGAGAGTGTCCATGGGCGGCGGTATCACTTAACGTCAGGTGAGCCTCCTGGCCGGTTGCCCCCCGTTCTATAAAAAAAAGCAGCATACTAGAATAGGGTACAGTTGTATGGAGGCCGAAAAGGATGAAAAATGTTAATATGGCATTTGCTTTTCTCCTGTGGCATCTCGAAAAAAGAGTTGCCAACATACGAAACCAAGCTAGCGCATTTTAAACTGTTGTCATTGGAGAATCGTAGAAAATTTATTGATATGTCGTTTGCGTTTAAGTTATTTATGAATCAGGTTGATTGATTGATTGCCTCGCTTAGCTAAATTTAAAATCCGTGTACCCTCTAGACACCCCAGGCATCCCATTTGTCCCTCCTTTCAGAAGCACACATTGTGGTCAAAACTCACCGATATCCACATTGAGCATTCTGATAAACGAGCTGGTGGATATCCTTAGTTTATTTATATTATTACTGATTTAGTATGATGACAAAAACACTGATCATCTCATAGCTGGCGCAGGTATGTTCAGCCAATTGTTCAGACCAATTGAACTCTAGAAATCATAATGTCGATTTAAATACTAAGTCTCCGCGTAGTCCACGTAAATATGTGAACACCATGTATCTACATAATAATATAGTTATCTGCTGTATTGCTTTCTTTAACACCATGTGCCTATTTTATTTTAACATTGTAGTTTTTTTTGTTCTAAGTCATGGTCTGCACATATAATTATCAAATCAATGTATACAAAATATTTTAAAACTATTTTAAAAGAGTAAGTTTGAAGTTTCTTGTCCATTCATCTCCATATGAAACTACCTTTTGGAAGGGGAAACTAGCTTTTAATAGGCCTAATTTAAATAAATGATTTGACTTTTTTTTTCCCAAATTTGTAACAGCGCTACGAATATCGAAACTATCTTAGTTTGTCGTCATATTTTGTACTTCATTAAAATACTTCCAATTCTAGCAATTCTTAAGATTATACAAGTCAAATATACGTTGCTGGGCAAAATAATATTTATTTCAATATCCGTTTTAATCGCTTATATCTTGGCCCATCTGTTGTTCGGTGGTCGTACAAAACGACCCAGCCTTCGATAACTCTATAAAAAGCGTTATGTACGAGTGCCATAAATTGAAGGTATTTTTAACAGTTCCATTTTACGTCTTTCTTTAATTCGTATTTGAAAAGGGAAAATTGAGATCTATTTTTAAAAATATGAAATAAAATTTTAGATTTCAGAAGTAGCTAGTAGTAGTAGATTGATTTTTTGAATTGATTTGGGTAGAAAGGACGGTACTGCTACTACGTTCTAAAGGGAGGATAATTTACCAGTTTAGCCATAGACTGTTTTGAAGGCCCTAGTGTCAGGTCACATACAGTAGGAAATTAATAAGGTGCATACAGATCCTCCCCTGTGGTCGTATACTCGGAAACACCCAAATCATTGAATCGTAAGAGTCCTAAACAATGCACTTGCATTTAGCAACTTGTTCAAAAGAGATAGGAGTCAATATCATGTGTACACAATCGAAAACAATTTATTAATTTGGGAGTATTGTACATTTTTATTACTTGTATTGGTTCTGGGTAATTTTTTCTGCAATCAGACAACAATATTTTGCGTGAAGATTTGGCTGGTTAAGCCACCCTAACTGCTTCTACAACCTCAGAACCTTCTGGGCTTCTTGGAGAGAAGCTCAGCTCTGGAAGGGTTTTCACCATTCCCCTGCATTCCAGAGTGACTTTGAAACGCGTTTCTTCTGCTATCAGGCATCCCCTTCGTAGTGGACTCTTTCATTTACTGTAACATTTCCGACATTGTATTTTCGGTGTCCAGCTTAAATTTACACCACCTTTCCTGTTATTAATGAATTAGGGGAAGCCCAATTCGGGTTTCGAACTCAACAAAAAAGTTTCATTATTATAAAGCACGTTAATTGAATAATGAAGGTTTTGGAATGTTTAAAAAGTTAACCCGAGCTTTTTATGAAAAGCTTACTGAATTGTTTCAGAAACTCGAAAGTCACTAATGTACCAGGATAAAAGATTTATTTTGTTGGTGAATAAAAACATTGGTTCTTGCGGGGTTACATTTATATAACATTTCTTAAAAATAAATCGCGAGTCTTGAGTACTCCAGACAACCAAAACCACCAAACGAAAAAGGTACCTGACGGAACATCAGCTGAGTTTCATTACGGACGTCAAAGCAGAATACAAAATACCATACGTATCACCTCGACGTCCGTCGTTCCACAACTGAGCGTTTCTTAAGGCAGTTTTTGCCGCGCACCACCACTATGTGGAACCAGCTGCCCACTGAAGTATTCCCAAACCAATTCGACTTAGGATCCTTCAAGAAAAGAACGTACGAAATGTGAGTGTCCGTGGGCGGAGGTATAACTTAACGTCAGATGAGCCTGCCCGTTGTTTTTTTGATAATTTTGGAGGCTTTGGAGTCAAACTCAAAGTCAAAAATAATTTATTAATATAGGTAACACAATGTATACTTATGAATGTCAAAAAAGAAATACACATTAAATGCTTCTAATTTTACATTTACTGCCAGTTTTCAAATCAAGGGCGTAGAACAAAAGAGAAGAACTGGTAATAAACTCTCCAA